GCAATAAAGAAAAAAGGTAAGTGCACTGTGAAGTTTCTTTCATGAATTTTTTTTCATATGTCCAATTCAACGATGGAACAAAAAATTAAGCCTTGAAATATATAAGATTTCTTCTAGAGATTTCAAGAGCCCAATAAACGACCAGCTTTCCAAAGTGATGCAAATATAAGGTTCTTCTTGCTATCTATTTTATGACATTTCCATGTCTCTATTTTAATACATCAACACCGGTTAGGTTAGATCCTAACAGCAGTTCCTGGACTGATTTTTATTTGCCTTTCTTTTCTTTTATATATCAGTCCTAATTCATACACTTCCTCTTAGCTACCAGACCACACATACAGCACAAAATAAAACCTTGGGAAGATTTGATACGGTGATGACAGCCATTGTCTGCATTTTGGACAGTATATCCACAAGGCATTTATTTATATCTCAAAAATGATCTAGAAACTATGACATGGGGCAAGAGGGGGTAATGCAATTGTCCTTTATCAAATTTTGCTACTTCCTTATCATGCAGATTTCATTGTGGATCATTTTTAGGTAGAGGTGAATTTTCAGGGAGAGGGGTACAATTTGTCTTTATTTCTTTCTCTCAATCTTTCTGGTCTTCCAGGATTTACCTTTTTCTAATCTTTCAAGCTCCCGATCTCTACACCCCCTTTCTCTTAGTGCAGAATCTGGCCGATTTAATTTTGATCTCCACCACACTAACGCAATTCAACCTCCCCCTTCTGACTCGCTGCTAGCCAAAGTTCTTAAGTTCGTTGAGCCAACTTTGGCGGCTTAAATAAAGTTTGGGAAATATAAAGAACCGGGCAGATTCTGGAATACCCCCCCCCCCCCCTTCTACCCTCCCGCCCTTCCTTCCTTTTTCTTTTCTTTTCTCTTCCACCCACCCTCCCACCCTCCCTCCCTCCCTCCCTCCCTCCCTCCCTCCCTCCCTCCCTCCCTCTCTTTCAAATTTATCCTTTTCACTACTTCATTCCTTCTTTCTTCTTGAAAGTCATCCATTTCTGTTTTACTCTAGCCATCATACCGTCGATCTTTATTCTCTCTTTTTTAAGTTTAAAAATAAAGTGTAAATGATAAACATTCAGTGTAAGTCTCTCACAAGCACTAAATCCACATGCTGTAAATTTTATCTCTATTAATTAGGTAATCACTGAAGGGAGGCTTATAATGATAGTGTTAATCACGTTCTTTCAACTTTTTTTCCCCTCATTTCTTCTTGCTTTTGTTTTTTAATTTCAATTGTAATGTATCCTACAGCTGGCTTGTGGGTTCCACAATTCCATACACACAGATCACATGATTCATAACCCTACATGTACATTTCAAAAATAACAAAAACAGGAAATAAAACAATACAACTCTGCCCGCATGTTTTCCCTGAAAGACTGCTTTAACAATGCTAATCAATTCAATTTACTCAAGGGCACGAATGATATTTCAAAAATGAAAGAGAAAAAGCTCATGTGAATACAAAAATATAAACTGTATTAAGTCAACCCATTACTTGCTGGTACCAGGTGGTTACTGTATTAACCCCACGGGGAATATGAGAATTCAGTCGTCAATGGGGTTCATTAATAGCTCTATGGGGTAAAGAAAAATAAAAAGGAAAAGTGGGTTTCATAGCCAACTTATTTTGCAGGTTCAAGGTTAATATTCTTATTTATTGATTTAACAATTAAACAATTTCTCAGGAAAATGCTGGTTCTACGCAGTGCAAATTATGGAAGAATTTAAAGAGCCTCCCCCACCTCCCCGGGCCTCGTCCCTCTCATTTCCTCGATAGAAATACTATAGATGGCTTAATTTAAAAACAATACACTACACACTGTACCAACCTAAAAACAATTAAGCAAGTTTTTGTCTCATAAGTCCCTTTTCATTCATAGCGTAGTAGTTCATTCAGTTGACTCTTAGTCTGAATCTAAGGGTTGGGGGTTCAAATCCTAGCCTGGCATCATCCTTTGGTAAACATTAATTCACATTTGCCACTCATCACCCAGGTGTTAAATGTGCCTCAATGGCTCTATATACCCCATCTTGCTTTGAACAAATCATAATGAACAAGAGGAAAGACCCTAAAAAAAATTCATAACTAAAAATGAAACGAGAATAATAGAAATGTTGCAATTTCTCTACAAAGTGCAACCGAACCTGAGTCAAACAGTAACAAATGACATAAAGAGTTTTACGGATTAAATGACTGTTCAGGCCCTGAGTGGTGAAAAAAGGAGTACTAAGAAAAAGGAAACTTGTCAGAAAACATTCCACTTAAACGACTGGATCTGATCAGGAACAGGAAATTAAGGCCCCTGTGATGTCTCTCTGGTTCCTATGCAGATCTCATGTTTGTCTGTTAGGGGTTGTGAACACACACACACTCATAAACCTATTAATGGGACTAAGGAAAGGAAGGATTCTCCCTAATAGTGCGTCTGTTTGGCCATCTGCCTGACGCCTGCAAGATATCACTGTTGCATCCAGAGACGCTCAGGAAATCAACCGTTTCACTCGCCCTTAAAAATAGCTTACAAACCTGTTCCCTGATATTTCATGCTAGCTCTGTATTAAATCTTGGGCAGTAATGTATACAAGTTTTTTAGGATAACTTTATTACAGCTGAGTGCTTAAAAAATGCAACAATTAATTTACAGCTGTGAGATGGGAAAATGTCTTGCTTAAAGCTTGAACAAGCTACATGTAGTAATGGTACCATTTAACTCATGGTCTACTGAATGCTTTCTGTCCCATAGATTTAATGAAAGATTGAGTTGGTAATGAGTTAACTGTATTCAGAACTTTGTACATCTTTTTAATCTCTGAGTGGATTTTTTGAAAAATCAAAATAACAAAAGCACCTACAGTGTTTTTGACAACAGTCAAAAATATTGATGTTCTAATAAAAATATTTCATCACATTTTGTAAACTTATTATGCCAGGCTTTATAGACCATAGATCTCCATGTTTCACTTTCAAATGCTGCTGTTCACATAAACTATAGCCCTACTTCTGATTAATGTACACTGTACTTCATACTTGACACTAAATCAGTTTGAGATCAATGTGATCTGCTCTTTGGCATTAAAGTGACGTTCTGTGATACATGAATATTGCAGGGTGTCACGATGCATTTTATTTGCTTAAATTTCCTCTCATTATGTATGAATCATCTCCATCTTCATTTAATACCGATACAATGGAGGGTTTATTACCGCATCAATCTCAAGTTTGACTCACCAAATAATACAAATTCTCTTTCACACATTTTCATTGTTTACCCCTCCGTCCGTCTATCCTATCCCCCCCCCCCCCCTTCCTCCCAATCTCTGTTTAGTTTCTCAAGTATTTTGATCTTCCTATGCATTCCTCCTCTTCTCATCATCATGCAATTCAAACTTACATCATCCTCTTCTTTTAATCAACATCCACTTTCATCCCATCATTCTCATCTTTAAGATTCTCCTTCAATCATCCTCTTCTCCTCATCACTCATCCACTCATTTTCAAATTTCATCTTCCCATCTTTTACCCCCCCCCCCCACACACACACATCCTACCCCACTCTGTTATCCTCCCAAATCCCATGATACACTAAGAATTATTCTCTTCCTCCCTCCTCCCTTTCTCATCATTTATTTTCAAATCTTATCATCCTCTTTTTCATGCTCTCTTTCCTTCCATCCTCCTCTCAGTATTCTTCCAAGTATCATCATCTCGTTTTTAAGATTCTCATCCCACCATCCTCTTCTCCTCTTCTCCTCATTGATTCCCAAATCTCACCATTTTCTTTTTTTTAACTTGTCATCTCTATCTAATCCCAATATGATCCCTCATCCTCTTTTTATTCACTTCTAGTTCTTACTCCAGTCCTCTACCTTTTAATTCCCCACTCTCATCCTTTTCCCATCCTCCAGTCTTTAAGCTTTCTCCCCTCCTTTCCATTTTCTTCCATTTATTTACTCTCATTATCCTCTTCTCACCTTCTTCTCAGTCTGATGTTATGGACACAATTTCAACTTTCAACATGCAGATTAGGCCTACCCATAAAACTGATAACGATTGTGAATCATGGTTTCTGAAACAAAACAAAAAATTAACCTTGTCCTAGATCTACTCCTAGTCCTAGACTAGTCCTGCAGTAGATGTAAATCCAATTTCTTTTCTTTTTTAAATCAAATAAACAAAAATATTAGTTTTTTATTACAGAAAGTGACAGAGCATCCTTTCCAGGGATTACAGTATCCTAACCCTCATAATTCTAAACAAAAACGGGGGGGGGGGGGGGGGGGGGGGGGGGGGGTAAAGAAAATAAAGGAAATAATTTAGTCTAGTAATTTACCCCCTTAGCTTTTTATCATCATCAATAGACAATGCAGAATCAATATAAAGAATATGGGTGGTATTCTGGTAGCGCGTACTAAGTTAGCGCGCACTAAGTTAGTCCACCCTTTTATGGAGTGCCTGTTGTCAACTCATTTATCCTGTACAGATTATTTTAATCCTTCAATGAAAAGTCTCCAAAAAATAAATTTTGCAATGAAATGGGAAGAAAAGATGAGTATGAACTGAATTTCCAAAAAGTCTTTAGTAGATTATCTTTGTCATGAATATTGAAGGAGGAAGATGAAACCTAGCATTCCATAGAAGTGTGAACTAAAATTCTTGTTTAGTCTGGACTTAGTCCCGGCTTAACTTATGAGAATACCACCCAATGGCGCTGCACATTAAATCTAAAGTTAGACGAGTGAGTTGCCCGGGTGAGTTGTCCCTCTCAACTCCCTGGCCCTGTTTAAATAACAGACCTTTTAGTAGTAGTAGCGCTGTATCCAGTGCAGTAACGCCAGAACTTTGTTATCATATTTGTCTGGGACTGCAACTGATGACTTTTGTCTAGATCTAGACCTACTTGGTCATTCATTGGGCAAAATCTCTATCTTGTTAGACCGACAAATAAGTTTATTAGTTTTCATGCGCAACTTACGTTGTATTTCCAGTGTAGATTAGGCGGCTGCATCAGTTCTAGACCGAATTTTCCGTCTCTTTCGTTCGTTAGCCTCTTATTGGGGTAGGGTCGGCTCTCTCTTTAGAGACGGAAGCCGTTTATACACATGTCCTTGCTAACGCCACGGCCAGTTCTGGTCGTAGCGTTTTGCCCCCAAAATCCCCCAAAATGTCATTTTACCTCGAGCATGTTATATTGTAAATTAGGCCTAGGCTATAATAAATCAGTTCCACTTACCAACTTGACTGAAATAATCAGTTTAATAGTCCCTTTTTAGGAAATTATGGGTCAAAATCGGAATCCATGTTGAAAAAGATTTTCAAAATGGATTTCGATTTTGACCCATAATTTCCTAAAAAGGGACTAGAGTAAAGTACCCGGTTTTCGGCCACTTAAGACAAAATCCTATTTATTGGACTCTTTACTTCCTATTTATTATCATTTCTTGTTCAAATCATGAAGCAAATATTATTATTATTTAAACAAAAAAGAATCCCCAAAAAAAATCACGAATTGCCATGACAATATTCATTTCAATTTTCACTGTTTTGGAGCCGGTTATCGGCCGAGCGTTTCAGTTTACGGCCGCATGTACAAAGTCAATCGGAAGCGCTCGCGCGCGCCGTGCGTTTCTGCGCTGATGTATAGCACACGCGGGCGGAGCAGGTATCCCACGCCGGAGCTCCCGGGTGCTCGCCTGACCGAATACAGGCACAGCGGTGATCGGAAGTTGGAATCTGAATTAGACGGACATATCGTGTGTGCGTCGCGGTGTGCGGCTGCATTGATTTAATACATGCGATGAGATACTTTTGAGCTTGCGACCAGCACAAAATCGGGCTCTATATCTGAAAAATACTTGAAATAAAGCTCATTTTATGGTACCCATATTTCTTACATACACGCGTAAGAAACTCGATTTTTCAGATTTGGGTAGCGGGACCGCCGATTACATCGCTAAAATGTGATATTTTAGGATATATTTTTCATTGCAAATGTGGTTCTTCAGTGACACTGGCATGGTATGGTATGTGTGGGATATGTGTTATGCTATTATGCGATGTATTTTAAAGTGATTTTACCATGTATCCAACCAATTGGCCGAAAACCGGAGCTGACCGATTACCGGGTACTTTACTCTATTAAACTGATTATTTCAGTCAAGTTGGTAAGTGGAACTGATTTATTATAGCCTAGGCCTAATTTACAATATAACATGCTCGAGGTAAAATGACATTTTGGGGGATTTTGGGGGCAAAACGCTACGACCAGGACTGGCCGTGGCGTTAGCAAGGACATGTGTATAAACGGCTTCCGTCTCTAAAGAGAGAGCCGACCCTACCCCAATAAGAGGCTAACGAACGAAAGAGACGGAAAATTCGGTCTACATCAGTTCTATCCTTGAAAATAAAACGTTGATCGAACTCCGGAGGTACGCGGTACGGTGCGCTCAGCTCAAGCAATTAAGTTTTCGTCTACTAATCCTGATCTGAATGTAGTGCACGTGTATTTTTCGAGGTTCAAAATAAATGTACAAAAGTATTTCAAGATGGCGCTAGAGCATAAAGCATGATCCTGCTTTATTCCAGGCGCTTTTTTGTGCAATAAGCAATTATGTTTCAATTTTCGTTCCTATTCATTACATCCGGGGGGGGGGGGTACTCACATACGGGGGTGTGCCGCTCTAATGGGTAACTTTTTGACAAAAAAATCCCTAATTATGGATCCGCTTTTTCAAAGTTCTCAAAAAAAATCAGGGTTTTTGCAATGCAAACACCCTAAAATTTTGAACTTGGGCTTTACTTCGTAAAAAAAATCCGCCAAAATGACCCTTAAAAAACGGAATAGGGATTTGGAGGCTTTAGCGGCACATACCCCCGTTAAAACCAAATCTGAGTACCCCCCCCCCCCCCCCCCCCCCCCCGGAATTACATCTTCTCATTAACCTTGCCGTTTTCTGCTGTATCAGGTTCAAAACTTAAATCTATTTCAATTTAATTTCCTGGTTCTATTGTTAGTAGGCCATCTATCATAGGCTTAATGTTGATTTGCATGTTTTAATATTGTAAATCAGATTTGAATCTGCTTTTTCTCATCATAATACTGAGATTCACAACAACAATTATTTTCCATTTTTAGTCTACATGAATGTTTATCATACAGCAAGACTGATTATTCCGTTTGTCTCAATGACTATTGTATCTTCTGCTCAGAACCAGAAGGACATTAACTCATATAGTTTAAGGTTGAGTAAATCACCCTTCTGGCTCACATCCGATAATAAAGTAAGCAGTGAGATAAAGAGAATAATCATTATCGCTATACTTGTATTTGTACAGCATACTGAACTGAAGACTTGCACGTTAATGTTGCATATCTTTCTTCTCTTCTCTTTCCTTTCTTTCCTTTCTTCTACTTATCTATTTTTCTTTTCTTTCCCTTCCCTCTCATTTTTCCCTCCCCCTTTTCTCATTTTTTCCCGATGGCAGCGAAATTTTACTGACAGTATCCTGACAGGTGGGGAAGGGGCGGTGTCGCACCCCAGGCCCCCTCCCCATTTAGCGACGCCCCTGGTTGTTATTCCGTTATTCTTTAAGAAATGCAATTCCTCATGCTCTCGCACCTCTCTTCTCTCATTGTTTAATTCTTTTTGATTTTGTTTCCCTTCTCATTCTCTCTTTCCCCCTTTTTTCCATCTCTTTTTTTTCTTCAGTTGGAGGGGGACCCCATATTATGCACTGCAAAAATTGCGTGCCCCCCTCCCCCACCGCCCCTTTACCGGTAAAAAAAAAAAAGCCTTCTTATCGTCATCCCCCTTACTTTCTTTTCCCCTCTCATTATTCTCCTTTTCCCCCTTTTGTCTGCTCCGTCTTTCCCCCTTTCTTCCTTCTCCGCCTTTTATTCCTCTCTCTTTCTCTTTGTTTCTTTACCCCTCCTGTTTCCCCTCTTCCCTTTTCTCTCCTACCTCTTTTCTTCTTCTTTCTATCTTTTCCCCCTCCTTTTTCTCCTTTTCTCCCGTTTTCTTTCCCCTTCCCCCTTACCCCCTTTTTGACGAGGGGGGGGGGGCACGTACCCCCTTTGGCCCCCCTGAATCCGATACTAGCATTAATCATGGAGTTACACTTTACTAACAGTGAAGCACAGTGGTCATGTGGATAAGACATCGCTTCACAATGCAGAATGTACTCGGTTCGAATCCCAGCTATGCCTTTCTACCTCGTTTTTTTTTAATCATTTTTTTCTTCATATTGATTTGTCCTTCTCTTTTTGTTTGTTTAGGGGACACACCCTCCTCCTCAACAAAGGAGTACAAGTAGTATATCAGCATTTTTTTAAAGTCATTAACATCAGAAAGTGTTAACATCTTGAACCGAACAAGTTAATAACAGTGAAGCACAGTGGTCATGTGGATAAGACATCGCTTCACAATGCAGATTTACTCGGTTTGATTCCCGGCTACGCCTTTCTACCTCGTTTTTTTTTGTTGTCATTTTGTCTTCATATTGATTTGTCTTTTTTTTTTTTTTTTGTTTAGGTGACACCCCCTCCTTCTCAACAAAGGAGTACAAGTAGTATATCAGCATTTTTTAAAAGTCATTAACATCAGATTGTGTTAACATCTTGAACCGAACAAGTTAATAACAGCGAAGCACAGTGGTCATGTGGATAAGACATCGCTTCACAATGCAGATTTACTCGGTTTGATTCCAGGCTATGCCTTTCTACCTCGTTTTTTTTTTAATCTTTTTTTTTTTTATATTGATTTGCCCTTTTCTACTTTTTGTTTAGGGGACACCCCCTCCTTCTCAACAAAGGAGTACAAGTAGTATATCAGCATTTTTTAAAAGTCATTAACATCAGAAAGTGTTAACATCATGAACTGAACAAGATAATAACAGTGAAGCACAGTGGTCATGTGGATAAGACATCGCTTCACAATGCAGATGTACTCGGTTCGATTCCCGGCTGTGCCTTTCTACCTCCTTTTTTTTGGTCATTTTTTTCTTCATATTAATTTGTCCTTCTCTTTTTTTTTTGTTAAGGGGACACCCCCTCTTCCTCAAAAAATGAAAAAAATTAGTTGATCAGCATTTTTTTTAAAGTCATTAACATTAGAAAGTGTTAACATCTTAAACCGAACAAGTTAATAAAAGTGAAGCACAGTGGTCATGTCGATAAGACATCTCTTCACAATGCAGATGTATCCAGTTCGATTCCCGGCTATGCCTTTCTCCTCGTATTTTTAATATTTTTTTCTTCTTCATATTGATTTGTCCTTCTCTTTTTTTTTGTTTAGGGGACACCCCCTCTTCCTCAAAAAAGGAGAAAAATTAGTTTATCAGCATATTTTTTTTAAGTAATTAACATCAGAATGTGTTAACATCTTGAACCGAACAAGTTAATAACAGCGAAGCACAGTGGTCATGTGGATAAGACATCGCTTCACAATGCAGATGTACTCGGTTTGATTCCCGGCTACGCCTTTCTACCTCGCGTTTTTTTTTCTTCATCTCTTTTTTTTTCTTTAGCGGACACCCCCTCCTCCTCAAAAAAGGAGTACAGGTAGTTTATCAGCATATTTTTTAACGTCATTAACATCAGAAAGTGTTAACATCTTGAACCGAACAAGTTAACAAACAAAAATTGGGGTGGTTATTCATCCTGTTTTACAGGCCCCCAAATTGTAAGTCGCCCTCTCTCGACGTAATTCAGTGTAGCTTATAATAATAGCAACGGATGACGCTTTCCGTTGGAATGTTTCATTGAGCGGGTATGTTTTACGCTTTTCACCCATTGCAGCTCATCTGTAAGTATTCTTATAAAAAAGTAATGATATTTAGTAAAATTCAAATGAATTCATACAGTTAATATTTTGTTAAAATGGGAGGGAGGCCTTCAAAATCTATCGTATCTACTTGTACGCATTGGCATTAGTTGTTAGGGCGTGTGCCCGACACGTTACATTCAGTGTATTGTTTGTCAATCGATGCCGTTCACTTTCGATTTCATGACTCATTCGGATTGCGGGGGTGGGGCACTTTATCTGCATCAGGATCAGTTTACCATGGAAGTGTGAGGTGATCCTGTTTGAACTTCCTGTCGTTTCATCGAGTGGTGCTTCATTCTATTTCTAACCTGAACTAGGGTCTAGTTTTGCTTGTATGATCGGTCGACGCACAGATTTAGATCTAGTCCATGCTGCATCTAAAGTAAAAAAAGTAATAAAAACAACGCGACCTAACTTCACGCACAGGGATTTACAGTTGATTTATCCAAAAATGTGATCCATCAAAAATAAGGTAATATATCATAATTTGCAAGTCAAGATATCATACAATCAGTTGGTACCACTTTTTATTTACAATTTTGAGGAAATCTGCTCTGAAATTGAAGATTTTCAGACCCTTATTGGTAAGTTGATATTTCGGAACTGACGAAAACGATTGCAAAATTTTGAGATCTTTTGTCAATATTTTCACAATTTCGAACCCAATTCCAAAGAAAATTTCATCTCTGGGTATTTTTATGTTCCTCTTCCTATTGGTGATATCAGTTTTTAGAAATCTTTATGATTTTTTTTAGAGAGCAAACTTAGGTCACATGCAAACTATGGTCACATCACCATATACAAATAACGTGCGGCCCAGCGTTCGTTAGTGGTGAATGCAGTGCACACAAGGTTTCTTTAGATTGGTGCCGCCTCAATGGCAATGTCAATATGTAATATTACGTCATACCACAGAGATTTTGACATGTCCTGCTTTAAACAGGTGACGCACTTCACATATACATGTACATGTACATGTAGGTGACGCACACTCGGCATTGCAAACACATAAAATAGAAAAATTAACGAACATCTCAGAATAAATTTCCACTACACTTTGTACCTTAGATATGACGAAAATGAGAATGGTTCAAACTTTAAAGTAAGACTTAAACTTAAGTGAAATACTTAATTAAAAATCATAATTTTGGTATCGAAAAAAACAGAAAATCGCAAGCTTCCTCCTCGCACAAATATCTTATAGCAAGGCAGCAAAAGCCATTAAGAAGGGCCCTTGTCGGTGCCAATTTAATAAAAGTGAGGCTGCAATTTGCAGAGATCGGATGAACGATTTGCGCGTGCGCTAATTAAGTTCTACGTGCTTCGGCTAATAATACATTGGTTTCACTTACCAGATTGAATGAATGACACGTTTAAGGGTCTTTTATGACGGTTTTGTGAGATGCTGCCCAAATAGTTTACTTTTTTAAAGATAAAGTCTAGTTCTGTTAAAAAACAGAAAATTAATTCTCACAGAATCAAACAAAACTTACACTGAATGTTCAAGATTACAAATAAATGATATGTGCCAAACAATTTTGGAATAAAATGTATACTGGCTGAGTAATGAGCATAGAAAGACAAGGAATTCAAGGTAGTACTAGCCCCGACACCATGTGTGTTGTCCCATATATAGATTTCTGTGTACAGTGCTTGTTACTTTACCAAGACTCGGCCAAATTTATAATGATTTTGATGACTCCAGAACCTTGCAGTGCACACCAATACTTACATTAAAATCATCCTCAACTTGTAAATAAATGTTGTTTCACTTTTTTCCCTTTCTAGTTCAGTAGTCATAATGGTTGTAGTACCATATAGACTCTTGAGTGACTTAGCTTTATAGTTCTAATATCAAATCTACAGTGCACATTGATTAGTGCCGTACGGAGGGGCATAGTAATATACATGTTTATTTGTGTACAGCATGAAGTTATACCCAGGTTAACTTGACAATGATTATTCCAACAACTCATGCCTGAGAAATATTTAAGCTGAGATAATTGAGTTGATTACACCAATCAGGTTCTGACCAGTAATAACGCAATTAGCATCCGTCAAAGTTAACAGCAGCGGACCTGCGCTATCCTTATCCACAATACATGTGCAAAAACATGAGATACAAAATTCATTAAGCGTGTTTCCACAGAAAAAAAGTGGAACACGGATTATCTTTTCCGGAATTGAAATACTGTGTCGCGGCGACACGGTATTAAAACAATCTGTTTTCACAGAGCGCAGCATTCCGAATCGCCCCAATTTCGTGTTCCAAGTCAGGCAAATGCTGTGTCAATCGGAAGTCAAGATTCAACCTTTGACCTCGATCGTGGATTCAGATCTACACAGGATTCCATGCTATTCTAGTGTGATGTACATTTTTCATTGTTACATACAGCGATATTAATTGTACAGTATGTACGCGTATTTCAAAGTATTTTTCACCAATCACGCTGCAGTGGTGATGGGGCTTCGTACGCTCTGATGACCCGCCAGACACGGTTTGTCGCTGCGTGTTTCCACAGCGAATTCACAGGGAGTTCGTTGGGATCGACACGTCAAGATCTACCTCCAGAGGTGGATCTGATAATCCGTATCTCGGTCGACTTGACCCGATATTACACGGTATTACATGAGTAATGCATATTTTGAATTTGACGTCAGCAGATTTTTGGAAAATTGATTGTATCTCTGTAAATATTGATCAATTTTCTTTCAAATTTGATATGTTCTAGCTGAGATTATTTTCTATTTTGACAATGGCATCATGGCGTATTTTTGCGATTAGAGGAAGCATGTACATTTTTCACATTTTGCGTGTATTCTCTATTGGACATGACTTTTTCTCAAAACTGGATTCTACATTCCCGTCTTTCGCGAGCAATATATCTCAATCGTTTTATCTTTGTTTACGCTGAGCTTTAAGGATGTTGTAGCTGAGACAATAAGCTATCACAAGTGTGCCCTTTATTTTTCGATCAGATGCCGGGATCATGCTCATATTTCACTTGCAAAGTGGGATTTGAGAATTCAATTTTCCCTTTACGTTTAATCGCTGTTGGAAATGTTTTGGTATATCGGTAACGCACTTGACTTCCGTCCTCGAGACCCCTGGTTCGAGTCTGGGCATCTCCAACAATTTTATTCTTCACTTTTTTTGTCTTTTTGACCTTTCACTGTACCGTCTCCTTTGAATATTAAATCATGTAGAATCGCAAATAATGTAATAAACAACCCTATTTACTTTATTGTATCCCTATTTTCACTTAATCCATTACTTTTTGCGTGTAATCCCTATAGGAGATGACTTTTTCTCAAATCTGGATTCTACATTCCTGTCTTTTGCGAGCAATATCGCCGTTATTTCTGCTTGATTTTTGTTGATTTTTTAGTATGTTGGTAGCTGAGACTATATGCTATCTCAATGTCCTCTCATTTTTCAATATGATGTCATGATGGTCTGTTGATGATGATGATCAACATCATCATCATCATCATCATCATCATCATCATCATGATCATCATCATCGTCATCATCATCATCATTAACATTATCATTAATATCATCATCTAACATTATCATTATCATCATCGTCATCATCATCACCATTACACTATCATGATCACCATCATGTTCATCATCATCATCATCATCATTGTTTACATGTCTATATAACTTCTCTCTTTCTCTATATAGTAAATATTCAAGTCTATAAGATTGAAGACAGACCACCTTATTCGTCAAAGTGACAAATTAAAATCTAGTTATTATTCATGAAATTGATGATTTAAAGTGGACCAGATTTCACTGCATCTTCACTTGATGTATCAATCTCTTCCACCAGAAATGTTTAGGACTACATGTAGGACAAAGCATTGCCACACCCAATAGTATAACAGCAACACATTACCCACTTGATCTATGTGATTAACCTGAATATGAAGACTTTTGATGGAAGTATGTAAATATGTCAAAAAAACTGCTGTCCTCTCCGAAACCAAAGAGACTATATATAGTCTCTTTGGTTTCGGAGAGGATGTAGATGGTAATCATAGTATCATTTCATCATTGTATAGTTGATTAACAGTACTGATAACGTGGAAAGGTATAAACACACAGTAAATGCAATTTAATGGATGGCAAGTCTTAATTCTTCCACATATACATTACATCATGGAATTATAGGGGGTGAAAGTAGGTTGTGAATGGATAGAATTAAAAAACCTCCCATCAAATAACAGGAAGATGTTAGATTGTAATACCCACCTCATGATGAATTAAAATTAGGCTAGCTTTTGTAAATCCATGCACTTTGTAGACTGTTATTACAGTCATATATCCATCTACTGATTATGGGTCGGAGAGGATATTTTGTTTGACACCTTCAAAATCAGTGTGAATATTAAACAAAAAAAGCACATTATCTATTGCACATGATAAAACAATGTTAGGTCTACTAATAACATAGGTTGGTTTCAAAATGTGGCTCTTCTTGAAGGAGTGCTGATAAAAAATGTCACTTTTTCGGAGAGGACACTTTTTGACACACCCCTGACAAACAAATTTGAAACGCGCATTTACCAAAACTGAGTAAGTGTGGGAAAAGTTAATATCATAATTTTGTAGGATATTAGTGACTCTTTTCAAGGAGGAAAAAATAATTCATTGAGTGCGGTCTTACTTTAAATTATAACGTTTTGAAAGGTAGTTGCTTGTTTCAAACAATTTCTTCGCTGTTGTAGGTTGATCTAACAGTGCCAAATAGTTGACCAAGGAAGATTTTCCTTGGCTGTTCATTGCGGTTTTCTTAAGGGCCATCAAAGTGAGTTTTTCTATTGTGTACCCTGATCGTAAAACAACCCTTAACTTGTTTGGGGGAATGTTCAACAAGGTGGAAGCCATATTGTCTTGCGGTCATCCATCTGTGAACTGACCACTGCTCTTCAATCGAATATTATGCAAGAAGCATAATGGAGGCACTTTATACTAAGCTCTTTATTCTTGGGCTAATAGCCTTCATCCTGAATAGAAGAGATTTTGATAGCTCCATTATAGTTCAAGACTGCACAACAAATCAAGTCTTTTCATCCACAACCAATTTCTTTATTGTTATGGTTTGTCCCTAATTACAAAGGCTGGAATAACTCACATGTGTACAAAGATGGCTGACATGAAGTGTGTGTCTTTATTCAGTCCTGTCGCCCTCTATCTGAATAGGCAGTACAGTGTTATAACTTGTAAGTCTCATAAACAAGATATTGTCACATCCTCCCCATTGTGGTTTTTACTGGGAGAGATGGATGGCCAACATTAGCCAAAATATAAATGTTGCCTGTTTTTTTTTTTTTTTTTTTTTTTTTTTTTTTTTTTTTTTTTAAAGGTTTGCCCCAAAAAACTGTTTGTGAGACTTTTACAAAATGTATCAGCATGCATGAATATAAAAAAGAATGTTAACAAAACAAAGTCCTTTAAGAATCACTACTTGATCCTTTTTTTTGAGTAGAATGAGTCCAAAAGTGTTCAGCTTTCCAAAGCAGCTCTCATTCTAATACGAAAGTCTAAATGATAGTCCATAGCAACGGTGTACCACGGTACTAACACCAAAAAAAAAAACATCATGTGGTTTTATAATTGCCTTATCAAAAATTTCAAGTCCAAAAAAGCAAAATCTTAACCAAAAATTTTCCAAAGTCAAGTTTTCAAAAAGTTTCAAACAAAGTTTGTTTTGTTTTGTTTTGTTTTGTTTTGTTTTGTTTTTTTTTTTTTCTCGTTGCTTTGTTTATCTTTAATATCTAACAAAGTCTTTCATGCTGCTTGGTTCATGACGTCGACGAGATGATCTTCTCAGCTCTGTTGGCTCTTGGTCATGTAGGCGGCTTGATGTCTGAGGTTGATCAGGCAAAGCAGCTGGTTGTAGGTCCTTGGTGTCATCAGGTCTAGAACGAGCCGCGTCATCGTTGACATCCGTCTCAATATCGGGTAGCGTAGGGATGGAAATCTCACTGTCTGGGGATTCCCTTGTTGCTCTAAGGTGCTCTCGGTTTCTCCGGTATGTATGTCCACCAGAGATCACCTCATAAGATCTCTCGTCTAGTTTCTGTAGGACTTTGGCCTTCTGCCAAATGTCGCGTCCTGGCTGGAATGGTTTCATGCGTACTGTATCACCATCCTCAAGAACAGGCAGCTCCTTGGTTCGCCTGTTGTAGTATTTTGCCTGTTTTGCTTGAATGAGTTTCATTTGTTTCATCTCATTCTTGCTGCTTCCTCTGGGCTGAAGGAGTGGGCGCATGGTAGGTGTCAGGGTCTTTGTGCGTCGTCCCAGAAACCTCTGTGCTGGACTGCTGTCCATACCCTGCGTTGGTGTATTCCTGATGTTCAAGAGGGCTAGATTCCTGCTGTCTCCTGTCTGTTTACATTTCTTCATCATCTTCTTGGCAGACTTGACGGCAGATTCAACTTTGCCATTACTCTTGCTGTTGTATGGGGAGATCGGATTGTATGTGATTCCCCATTCCTTGATGAAGGTGCCAAATTCCCGTGATGAGAACGGAGGACCATTGTCACTGATGATGATATCTGGAATGCCATATCTCCCAAAGTGGACCTTCAGTTTGTTTATCACAGATGTTGCAGTGCTTTTGTAAAGCTTGTCTATCTCCCAAAAGTTTGAGTGATAGCACACAGTGATAAGGTATGTGTCACCGTCGTAGTGAAAGAGATCCATTCCAATCTTTTCCCAGGGTCTATCAGGTATTTCGTGAGACATCAAAGGGAGCGCTGCTTGGGAGATTGAATGTTCCTGGCATGTCTCACATGTCTGAATGTACTCTGAGATCTCTTGATTCATTCTAGGCCAGTAGACAAGTTCTCTTGCTCTTCTGAGGGTTCCTTCGATACCACTGTGACCAACATGTAGATCATGTTTGATTTCAGCCCTCATCTGCTTAGGTATTACGAGACGTTCACCACGGAAGATAACACCATCACTGACAGTCAGTTCATCTCTGATGTTGAAGTATGGTGTGAGTTGCAATGAAAGCTGAGACTTGTGATCAGGCCATCCTTCGAGTATGGTGTCTTTCAACATTCTTAGAGTCTCATCAGCAGCTGTGTGTCTCCTTATCTCCTGAACCCTGTCATCGGGGAGCATCAGGTGTGTGATCGAGTTGACCACTTCAAACTCCTCTTGTCCTCCTTCATACGGTAGACATGAACGACTAAGGGGGTCGGCCAAGTGGTTCTCCTTTCCTTTCAGATACTTCACCTCGATGTTGTATGCCATGGCACGGAGGAGCATGCCTTGAAGCCTCTTCGGCGCCCTATCAAGGGGTTTCTTCACGATGCATTCTAGTGGCTTATGATCGCTGTAGACAGTCACCTCTCGTGCAAATGTGAACTGGTGCCACTTTTCTAGAGCAAACACGATGGCGAGCATCTCCTTTTCGATAACTGCGTATCTCGACTCTGCATCACTCAACGCACGACTAGCATAAGCAACAGGCTGACCATCTTGCATCATAGCAGCCCCAATTCCATGAGCGCTTGCATCGGCGTGGATGACCAAGGGCTTCTTTTGGTCATAGTACTTGAGCAGAGGTGCTTGGGTCAAGAGTTCTTTCACCTTCTTGAATGATTGCTCATGGATTTCATCCCATGTCCATGCAACATCTTTGTGGGTCAGGTCATTGATTGGCTGCAGAACTTCTGTGAGATGTGGTAAGTACCGAGATAAGTAGTTCACCATGCCACGGAGTCGATGTACGTCATCTCTACACTTGGGAGGATCCATTTCACGGATCGCCTTGACTTTTGAGGGGTCCACTTTCATTCCTCTGTTGGACACAACATGTCCGAGGAAGGTAAGTTCTGTGACTTTGAACTGGCATTTCTCCGCATTGAGAACGATGCCCAATTCCTGGCATCTCTTGAGCAGGCTTTCCAGTCGATCATCATGCTCCCGTTCACTAGAACCCCAGATAATGATGTCGTCGGCCACACAGCGGACTCCATCTAGGCCATCTAGCGCTTGGTGTAGACGTCTCTGAAAGATCTCGCTGCTCGCCTTTAGTCCAAAAGGAAGCCTCTTCCATTTGTACCTACCCCACGGTGTAGCAAATGTTGTGAGCAGGCTGGATTCCTCATCTAAGGGACAATGAAGATAGCCATTACGCAGGTCACACACAGAAAAGGTAGAGGCATCAGTTAGTGAGGGTAGAATGTCATCTAGCACTGGAAGGGGGAAGTGTTCCCTTTTCAATGCCACATTCAAAGGTCGTGGGTCCAGGCACAGACGAACCTTGCCCGATTTCCGTGTCGCTACCGAAAGTTGGCTCACCCAGTCCGTAGGATCAGTGATGACGTCTATGACCCCTTTTCTCTCTAGCTCATCCAGTTCAGCCTTGACAGTATCTTTCAAGGATTCAGGAATGGTCCTAGCAGGTCGAATACTGGGCTTTACATTGTCGTCAAGGTAGAGATGGACTGGGTCTCCCGGGAGTGTGCCAATCTTGGAGGATGAGAAGACGTCGGGATACTCTGCAAGATCCTTTGAAGTCGCAACATATATCTGTTCAAAGTTATCATAATTGATTGTGATGAGGTTCATCTTCTCTGCTGCCTTCTTGCTCAGGAGAGGAGTCAGGTTCTCTTTAACCACCACGTAATCAACAACATATTTCTTGTTATTAACAGGATTCCTCGTCTTAATCTTGCACTTTCCTACTGCAGTGACTGTTGATTTGTTCCACATTTGAAGCTGCACTGCTTCCTTTCTTATGTCGTTGTGAGCAACAACATACTTCTGTGGGAGTAGACTCACTGTAGCACCACAGTCCACTTGGAATTCAACCTCTGTGTCGTTGAGCAGCATTTTGCAGAAAACAGGACGATTGTTGGCATCAACCGCATTGATATTCTGTACGGTGACAGAGCTAATGCTCTCACCTGACGACGAGCTAGAATCATCATCCACGCAGTGTATGGTTGAAGCTCTGCAAACCTCAGATCCTTTGAAATGGTTCTTTTGCTTGCATGCCATGCATGTGCGGCCCCAAGCAGGGCACTTCTCCTTCTTCATTTCATGCATTTTGCAGCAAAATTTGCAACGTTTTGGGTCAGTTGCATCCTTCAGTTTACCACTGCTCTTGCCAGGCCTTTTAGAGTAATGAGATGCACCAGTGCTGACCTTCTTGTAGACCTTGTAGACTACCTCCTCATTCTTGAGAGCTTTCATCTGCAATGACGCCGCTTCTACAGCTTTGCATATGTCAATGGCTTTGGACAGAGTGAGGTCTGGGATTCCCATCATTTTCTCCCGCATGCTGTCATCTGACACACCTAATAACAGTCTGTCCATCAGTAGCTTGTCCTTCATACATTCACAAAAACCACATGACTTGCTCATGGTTCTCAGCACAGTGACGTATTGTTCAATGTTCTCCCCTTCCTGATTCCTGCGATTAAATTTGAACCGCTCAAAAAATTCCTTTCTTTCTCCAAGAAAGTGGGAATCCAGCTTCTCCAGGATAAGATGACACTTTTTGCTGTCTTCATCACTGGCAAACTTCATGCCATTGTAGATTCTTACTCCATCCGGTCCAATACTATGAAGGAGCAGAGCAGTTTGGTATTCCTCAGGTTGAGAAGATAGATTTGTGAGCACACAGTAGTTGTCCCACATCTGTTTCCACATCTTCCATCCCTCAATCGCATCTCCATCAGATACCCTCAGGTGAGCAGGAGGGTTTATGTTCGGCCTTTTGAACACATTACTGGCCACATCACTACTATCACTTCGCTCATCAGGCATCTTGACTATTATATAAGCACAAGCACAGTAGAGAAAATCACAAGCTTACCGTAGTCGTAGAACAGTGACAACAGCTGTGCAGTCACTCACACAAAGTTAAGCATGTGGGGCCACCGTAGAAAACTTCAGTTCGATTTGCACATTTGACCTTCCAAGTACAGCTTAGATAAGCTAACAAATTGTGTGAAGTCCTTGGTAAATCATGGCAAGACTTCCAATGAGTGGGTTACAAACACCAGCTGCCACCAGGTTATGGTTTGTCCCTAATTACAAAGGCTGGAATAACTCACATGTGTACAAAGATGGCTGACATGAAGTGTGTGTCTTTATTCAGTCCTGTCGCCCTCTATCTGAATAGGCAGTACAGTGTTATAACTTGTAAGTCTCATAAACAAGATATTGTCACATTTATGTTCAGTGCCTTGCAAAATGTTGGAAAGAATTGTTGCTTCCCATCTACTTAAACATTCTAATATGTATGGTATCATACCATTATCTCAACATGCTTTTATGGCAAAACGCTCTTAATTTTTCATCATATTGAATTGCGTAATGCAGGTGAGACCGCCGAGAGCGTTTCCCTTGTTTGTTTACCATAATTCCTGAGTACATTTAAGTATACATTGTTTCTATATTTATTTTATTTCTCCAGGTCTTGAAATCATCCTTCAAGTTGTTATGAAGTACAGGAAGTAGCCGTTCACTTTTCAAGAACCACAAAATGGCCGCTGCACGTGTTGCGATGAACAACAATTTCAGCATGCAGAAGCCCATTAGACCAGAGCCTCATCGAAGTCAAGCTCCAGCGCCAAGCAGACAGTATCAATGTTCTGAGCACAGTAATGACATTCTCAACCAACTCCATCAGCTGTGGAAGCAACGTATCCTGTGCGACGGGAACATCATAGCCAATGGGAACCACTTTGCCGTCCACCGCGCCGTCCTTGCATCCTGCAGCGAGTACTTCAGGGCCATATACCTTGAGAACGACAATGTCCGTGACGTCCAACTCCACAGTAACATCTCCAAGGAGAGCCTGGAGCTGCTCCTGCACTACGCTTACACATCCCAGATAGAGCTCACCCTGGAGAATGTCCACAAGGTTGTGAGCGGAGCCGTCCAGTTGAAGATGAAGCGTGTCATCAACATCTGCAGCCAGTACCTGACGTCGGTCCTGGCCGTGGAGAACTGCATCGGGATCCTCCACCTCTCCAGGAAGTTTGGGTTCAAGGAGCTGGAGCAGGATGTGCATGAGTTTATTGTGGATAATTTCTTGATTGTAGCTGAGAGACCAGAGTTCCAGTCCCTCAAGTATGATGATATGTGCTTTTTCCTGAAGCAAGATCGCATGGCCATCGGATCTGAATTTGAGTTGTTTGGAATCGCAGCCAGGTGGATCAATCATGACAAGCAGACAAGATTCAGGTACATATATTCAAATGTATAGGATTTAAGTGTAATGGAGGGTTTAGTTAAAGTAAAAGGTCAACAAGCATGGATTTAAGTAACTTTTCAATTTGGCTACACATACAGTATGAGCATAGAATACAACTGATTAAAGTTAGTATTGAAATGCCTGCGTGTTTGAGAAAGCGCAAGTTTATTGATGATTTTCCAAAAATTATCGTGTTGTGGCTAATTCACTGATACAAATTTAGTTTCTGTGTAAAATTGTTTTTATAAAGAATTACTATTCATGGCAAACATGCACCTGAATTTCAAATAACAAAAAAAAGAGTGTATTTCTACAGGTAAACAGATATTGTAAGCCTTACATATTTTCCTCTTGCTTTCTGGATTTTCTGTACAAAATGATTGAGGTGTTAAAGATTGTGTAATTAATTCAATTTTTTTCAATTCATATCCAATATTGCTTATGTGACAGACATGCAGCTCAGCTGATGAAGCACATTCGCTTCCCGTTGATCTCAAGCGACGACTTGGTGGAGCATGTCCAGTCACATGGCTTCATGATGCAAGATCAGTCATGCCATAGGTTCCTGATAGAGGCCTTGAACTACCACCTGGTGCCTCATCGCCAGCCTGCCTTGCAGACCCCTCGCACCCGCATCAGGTCGACCAAGGAAGCAATAGTGTCCATCGGGGGTGAACTGCCACATCACAAGGTGAGTAACCAGGTCCTGGCTATGGATGAACTCCACAGTGGCTGGAAGGAACTCTCTAGGATGCCTCTGAAGAGGGTCGATCATTGCGTGGTGGTGCTCAATCACTTCGTCTATGTCGTAGGTGGGCAGGTAACCTTGAACTCTAATGGCAAGGAGAGCATCGGAACGGTTCACCGGTACGACCCAAGGTTCAACAAGTGGCTCCAGATGTGTCCTATGCAACAGAGAAGAGCTTTCTTCTATCTGGCAGGGCTTGGAAGCAGCTTGGTAGCTGTTGGGGGAAAGAATGAACAGGGTGCTTTGGCTTCAGTCGAGATGTTCAACCCAACTGAGAACAGTTGGAAGTATGTGCATCGCTTGGATGAACCAACGTATGCCATGTCTGGAACTGTGGTAGATGGCAACCTGTTTATCACCGGAGGATTCGCCACGCACAACTTCAGTCAGATGTGCTACATGTACAACCATGAGATTGACCACTGGATTCCTAAATGCCAAATGAACATTGCTCGGGGGTTCCACATGAGTTGCACCCTACGTGACATGATGTATGTTATGGGTGGGAACCATCTGAATTCCTACGGAGATCGGGTGGATGTCATGGGAGTGGAGCAATACAACCCTCGGGAAGACACATGGATCACCATGTCACCGATGCTGACAGGTCTGAGTATGGCAGGCTGCACGACGACAGAGGACAAGAAGATCTACGTGGTTGGGGGCTACAATGGTCTGGGCCGGCAGCGTGAGAAGGACATTCATTGCTACAATGTAGATGCTGACGAGTGGGATGTTGTCGCAGAGCTTCCGGATTCAAGTTTAAGGATGTCCTGCTGTACGCTGACTCTTCCTAATAGCTTCTTTAACGCATCACCTCCTAACGGTGACTCCTTGTCCACTTCAGACTCCCATTTCACATCTGTCTCACAGCTAAATGAGAACTTCTCTGCCATCAGTACCAGTGCAAGCACTGTCTTTATGAGGTAACACAAACATCTAGGTGAATACTGACGATGGTCAGCCAATTAAACATTCCATTAGCCCATCAGTACTCAGTTGTAGAGAAGAGTATCATGATTTCAAAAGAAGTAATCAGTATGCAAGTTTGACACCACGATACCATAAGTCAGGACCTGGAGGGTCAGAATGACGAGTATGCCATGGAGGTGTCGTGGTAGAGTGGATACGTCACCGGACTGTGGACCAGAAGGTTCACAGTTCAAATCACCCAGGCGATGTAAGTGAGTACCTGGCAGGAATTAATTCTTTGAAATGTCAGAGCACCATCATGGCAGCCATGCTAAAGCCGGGTAATAATTGCAGAGCGCCAAGAGTGTCAAGTCTGACAGACATGAGTGCTATACAAGAACAAGAACCCACTATTATTATAATATGAATTCAGTGGATGTGAATAAACCATCTCTAATTGGGTTTTTGTCTGTACAAGTACATTGTACATCATGGATGTTGGCAGCATTCAGTATTCAGTAGCTTTAGGTGTTGGGAAACTTACATTTGATGAAAAACATTTCCAGCTTTACGATTATCATAATAAGCTTGACAACAGTAACTAAAATTATCTGCAAATGCAAGCCTGTAAAAAAAAAAATAATAATAATAATTCTGTTACTCTGTTCTTGTATTACACTCATATCACATTATGGTAGTCAGGATAATTTACAAAAAAAGAAGATAATATTTAGCCCTCCAAAGGCTACTTTATAGAATGAAGTCAAAATAACAAAGAAGCAATCTTAAAGTAACATACTTTTGACTTAGGTGGTTGCAAGGTGGTTCTCTCATAAAAAAAAAGAACAAATATAAATTGAATTGACTGCCACATAATAAGAAATATTCTAGTACCGGGTAGTCAGGATAATGTGCAGGGGGTGTTTCACAAGATCCTTAGTTGAACTTATCTCTAAGTTGGACTTAACAATTATGGAAAGCCATTATTCTATGAAAATGTTTTGTAAAAGTTATTTTAAAAGGCATAAAATGTGAATTCAAATCATTCATATTTTCTATTATCAAGGATATTTAATGGTCTTGATGTGGAATTTGTTAAAATTCAAAAATATTTGAATTTTCACTATTGAATATATTTTATTTTAAGGCTACAAATAGCTCTCCATAATTTTTAAGTCCAACTTAGAGTTCAGTTTGACTGAGGATCTTTGTGAAACACCTCACAGGTACACATGATGAGTTATGTTGTAGCATTGCTGTTCTATGGGAGGACTGGTTGGGGTTTCATTTCATTTTTACTTTCCAGCTAATGACTGATGTTATAGAATATTATGAATTGAAGTTTGTATACTTTACATTGTACATTGTATCTTGTAAATGTATAAGTTTGACGTGGATGTGAGTGTTAACTGTTAAGTCATCTCAATTTTGTTTTAAATATAGAAGTGTATTTTCCTTAAAATAATGCACAGTGTTGGTGAAAGGCATATAACCAGTATATGCCATTATACACTCCTTTTAAGATAGAGTTGATTCTCATATGTCTTGCAATGGATGATATGTTAATTAAATCTTTGTCTTTCACCAACCCTGTGTATTACATGTACTGTACATTATACTTGTACCTTTGGGTGAATATGATATACAGTCTAACCTGTTTTTAAGTGACCAACTGTCTTCAAAGACCACCTGTCTACGAATACCACATTTTTTGTTTAAAAATACTACATTTGTTGTTTCCCTTGAAAATGGTTTCTCATTGAAACATGTATTAAAGGAACCTGTCTACAAAGACCAGCTGTCTACAAAGACCACTTTTTGTGTTTCCATTGGGCGGTCACTGTAGACAGGTTTGACTGTATGTGTGTATTTATGATTAGAGAATGTCTCTGTTGTATATGTTTGTGTGCGGTTTACATGAATTCATGCATAATATCATGTAAAACTCAAGTCGAAAATTATTACTGAATATTGCAATATTTGCATAAGTTTAATTTAAGTAATTTTTCTTGCAATACAAGTCATGCAAAATGATTATCCCCAAAGTCATCAGCCAGCAAATTATGTTTTTAACAACATGAGGCTTTTCTCCTTAATTCCCATTCTACCTAGTGTAGTTCAAATGCAAATACCGGTAAATGAAATGAGGACCTGGTTACGGCTGATACAAGTGCAAAGATTTTCCTTTGTCATTTTTTTTTTTTTTTTTTTTTTTTTAATAAATATTTTTCAATTCAATTCAGAAGACTTTATTTCCGTTAAAAAGCCAACAAATATATACATGTGATGAAGTACAGACATTTAATGTACATGTACAGGTATATGTTGCAAAAGACATTTTGACATTGTGTATGTTCTCCCATGATTATGACTTTCAGAACCTGACTTTGAAGAAAACTTTCTGCAAAAGTAATAATGCAAGAAGCTGACATTTGTGTTCCTAAAACACATGTTTAGCATACATTAACATGGGCTATACAGGTACATTCTAATAATATAGTTATGAATTTGAAATATAACACCTTGACTTTGTATTAACCTTGTCTTTCTCTACTAAATATTTGTGCATTAAAGTGTGTTGCAATAGTGTGTTCTTTCTTATAATTCGAGTGCAACTGGGTAACTTATATTATATCTAAAATCTTCTACATGTGCATGCCTGATATATCTACCGCTAGATCATTATTTTAAAGAATTACTGTACATGTACATGTAGGCCTGTATATTCCAATTACTGTTGTACATTTCAAATTGTGTAAATTTTCTTTGCATTTGATGAGACGTTTGTGCTTTCACGAATTATTTTATATTCTTTCCTACAGTACAATGTGTGTACTACCAGTACTGTGTTGTGGTGTCAGTATTATCAGGCTGACATACTTGTTTCACAAGAGCTCACTACTTACATGTAAATGGCTGAACTACATGTAACCGTAGGTACCCACTATTGTTAAAGGTAAAGACCAGTTTTGGAAACGCCCCCCCCCCCTCTCAAAAAATGAAATAAAAGCTCTCATTACTAATCATGTGAAAGAATATGTTTTGACTAATATGTGATGATACAATTTTTGCCTAGAAACTGCCCACTAATTGACATATTTGGTCAATTATTATATCTATTTGGACCTGATAGATATCGTGCACGTGTTGCGCTTAGTCCCATATACATCTTTCTGGCTACAGTGCTTATAATTTTACCAAGACTGGGCCAAATTTCTTATCATTTTGATGATTCCAGAACCTTGCTGTACACACCAATACTTATATGCTAGATGATCAACCTTTTCTGATTGATTCCACAACGTTTCTTTCACAATTAATGCAATCGCATGACCATAATTGGTCTTTATAGTTAAACAAAATATTGTATGTTCAGAGCCAGATCCTGTGTTTAGGTATACAAGTTTGTGTTTGTGTTGTGTTAAACAAATATATGTAGTATACTGTAGATCTACATTGGATCTATTGTTTGTTTGTTTTTGTTGTGATAGCAATTAGAAATTAAGCAGGAAATATTCTATCCATTGTTCTTATCTGCTTACTGTGAGAGAGAGAGAGAGAGAGAGAGAGAGAGAGAGAGTGGATTTTATGTAATTACGGTGCATGTAGATGATGTACATGAAAAATCATGTTGAGTGTAATTTCAAACAAATTAAAAGCCAGGGCTGTATTGTTTAAGCATCCCAACATAACATTCTCAATAATTGAATATTGATGCATCAATGTTTGTGCGCTAATGATTTATATATCGAATATATGAAAGTCCAAGGCCTCTGATAAATGAGGGAAAGGTGTTTTGATGATGCAACGTAGGATAAAACGATGAAATGTTATCAGGCTCGTTTACCCCCCCCCCCCCCCCCCCCACATAATCCTTGTAGTAATAATCGTATAAATGACACAATTATGGGATAGCGTACATGTACATTTACATGTAAATGTCATTGTTCCCTTTCTCTTTTTCTTTCATATTTTTTCTCGTGATTATTATTTTTCTTCCAGTCATTATTTCCTGTTCTAAAAAGAATTTGCCTTTCTTCTTTTTGTCATCTTTTTACCTCTTTTATTTTTGTTTCTTTGTCTCTTTTAATGAACAAAAAACGTTTCCCTTGTTTTGATTGGTGTTCATTATTTGTAAAATATAGATACATGTTATGTTTGATATGTTAACATGATATGGTCAAGATGTTACGATTGATTTTCAAAAAGAATTATGTAAATAAACATCCAATGATTTGAATTAAATAAAATATGAATATGGCTGAACATTGATTGTAGTTATTACGGAAATCACTTTATTTGTACGCAGTCTTTATGTCATACGAATTATGTACATATCCAACTTTTATTCATAACATTACAACACTTATGTCTTCTATGTAGCAATAACGGCAAATTATTTCTATATTAACATTGAAATTACGCAAAGTCCATTTCACTTTTGTTTCTCAAGTCATTTGAATTAAGTTTATTTAATTTGAATTAATGCAAGCATAGTTCATATTGAGGTAATGTAAAAATACCACCACCACCGCCAATAACAACTACAATAAGGAAAGAAAGAATGAATGGATGAATGAAACATTAAACAAAATGTAGGGAATAAAGATTAACTTTTGCTTTAAATCTGCGAGTCAGGACTCAACGATCATTAATATTGCAACACCTCAGTTAAAGCAGTTATTTGAATTTTAAGAGTTCATGTTGAAATGTCAATCCGAAAGGTCATTACAAATAATGATATAATTATGCCGGGATTATGATAACTGGATAGAATAAACCAATTTCGTAATGTAATCAAAATTAAAATGCACAAGTCTTTTTGAATGAAATAATTACGAATATCGTCTATTTATTTTCGATTACTCCCCTAGTGAATCTATGATTTTTCAGTTAATTCGTTCACTGATACGAATTTAACTACTCGTAATTAAAAAAAAAATGTAATATTAAAATAAATGTGCCTTTGCTAAATGACGGGCTTTTACAATGGAGGCCTACCCTTCTATTTTCAGGGCTATGCTTTGTTCATACATTCTTAGACAAAATTCAAGAATACTAAATTATATTTACATGGATTTATTACTCACAACCCATTTAATCGCAGGGGCGGCCGCCCCTATCATTTTCAAAAAAAGGAAGAGAAGGAGAAAGAGAAAAAGGAGAAGAAAAGAAAAGGAAGGGGAAGAGAAGGGGGAAGGTCAGGAGAAGAGAACTATAATATGTAAATATGTATGACGTAAGGGATGGCGGGGGAGAGGGAAAAGAAAAAAATAAAGAAAAAGAGAGAAAAAGCACAAAATGTACAGTAATTGACGGAAACATTTGGAGTTTTTCTTCATTCTTCACAATGTTTATTTCATGACAATCCGAACACGAGGGTTCACCTTGAGACAATGCAATAGGTACTTTTAGATTGAGTGGACGAGAACGGCGTGAACGTCCACTGACCATGCGTGTCATGGCAAGTCGTTTTAACATATATTCCTATATATTCCTTGATATCAAGAAATGATTTTCTGTTGTATGGCAATGGTAATTCTTGATATCAAGAAATGGAATACTAGCAAGGATCTATGGAAGTCATCCTAATCCAGATACAGAAGCGTCATTATTACATTCACATTACCGGCAGTTCAAACATTGGTTGACGACGAAGAACCTTCCACCAACTGAAACAAAAATCAAATTAATCCCTTGCATCTCCTAAACTGCATGGCCTATTGTTCAATGGAAACGACATATTCATCTATAACAACCCTTCTAAAAATTATGGTCACATTCACACTTACGAGTGTTTCTGCTAAGCATTCATTTAGTGAGCTTCGATTGCTGAAAACGTTCTTGGATTGAGATCAACACCCCCCCCCCCCCACCCAGTGTTACAGTATTTAGGATACGCATATGCGTGTTTCCAGCGACCCCCCCTTTTTTCAGCAAAAGTCCGGTGTGTAAAGTCAATATATATTTTTTTTCAATAGTTTTTAAATTTTATTTCAAACAATACAAATTAATTTTAGAAATAAAAACCAGTCGTTTTTCTTTGACATGAATTCAAAACATTTTCATTACATAGATTATATACAATACAGGTCGACCATTTTCTTTTGTTGTACGAGCCTTTTTCAGCACACCCCCCCCCCCCCTTTCAGCAAAAATCCGGTGTGTAAAGTCAATACGGGTAGACCTTTTTCTTGTGTTACGAGCCGGAGAGTTTGGGAACACGCATGGTATCCCTCCGTTCACGGAGTGGGGGGGGGGGGGGTGTCAACAATGACCCAAGATTGTTTGTCTTCACTTCTGGTCATCAATTTAAACAGAGATGTTGATATAGATATAAGCAAAGTGATTGACGCATTTGCCCGAAAACATACCTGTAAATTGGAGTTCCTTTTGACAGAAGAAAATTAAAAGTAGTGCATGTTCGTGATGCTGTAAGTAGTATTTCCCATCATTAAAGGTAAGCCAGCCTACATTTGAATTGAGCTTGTTCTTGTTAGTTAAACTTAAGACTGTTTTCTTTTTAATTTGGCAAAAGGAATGCACCAAATTGAGCCATTGGGCATCAATTTTCAAAAGAATCTTCAACTTCTGAGGGGGGCACCCGGCCCCCCCCCCCCCCACTCCGTGAACGGAGGTATACCATGCGTGTTCCCAAACTCTCCGGCTCGTAACAAAAGAAAAAGGTCTACCCGTATTGACTTTACACACCGGACTTTTGCTGAAGGGGGGGGGGGAGGGTCGCTGGCGCGCCCATTGGCCCCCACCTAAGAAAATAACCTGGCGCCTCCCCCGTTTACTCGTTAACGAATATGTTAGAAAATGTTTATTCGCCAGGATAGACCACATTTACTAGTAGGTGTTCCTAATGGCAACGTGTTCGAATGTGTATGTACTTATTAATAACATAATTGTGTATAGTACCACCATCTGGTGGGTATTGTAATCTTAGCCCTGCTTTTATTTGTAGATCGCATTCTGACGGGTATTTCATGCATTGGTAACATTAATAGTTGCTACTGACGACCCGAGAGATTGATTGAGGCTTACCCGACATAACAATAAGTAGAATTTCAAAGAAATCTTATCATATGTAACAGGTGGACTTAAGAGAATCTTTCCCGGGGGATCCGGGAAGAAGCATCCATTCACCTTGAATCACATGACTCATGTTACACTAAACTGCTAAAGTGGTAAAACGAGCAGATTTTAAAGCACGTAAATATTGATCGACCGGACTTTGGACTTTGCCTATTAATCAAACCACGAACGTTTCCGCGGTTCCTAGCTAACCGCGTGTCCTGCCAAAGATATCGCTTATCTATTTGCGATCTACAAATACAAATATTGTTATGATATTAATGAGCGAAGGCCTTTTCCGAAACATTTGCCATCGCAGTGCATTAGATTAGTCTACATACTGTGTTACAGCCAATCACGTTTATTGTCTATTATTGAGGAAGTCATCGAGGAGCTTTTGTAATAAACAGACCAAAGGAGCAGCTAAATAGGTAGTCCCTCACGCCTGAAGTCATATTTTATTTTTGTCTGCAGCCTACATCCTAAGTCCAAGTAAGTGATTACATTGTAATCTGGTAGGAGGGTTTTGATTTTGCCTATTGCTTGTGTACGTAGCTTTGATAAGCTTAATTCACTACAGGGTGTTTTCCGCCTGTAATAAACCACATCTTACATTGGATGGTGGCTTATCATTATAGGCCTATATTTATGTATTATATAAGTACATGTATCAATAATTATAGGCATATATTTTGACTCTTTAAGTATACAGGTCTAGATAAACAGAGGAGGGGGGGGGGGGTAGATTTACCAAGGTTGCCGGCATTACTATATAGTTATAGGACAATTCCAGAAGATGAAAAAATTGAATATTTCTAACAAAACAAAATAGCTGCATAGTTGAACTATAGTTCAAAATTTATTTTCTTTAGACTTCAATACAAATTATGTGTAATTAAATTATGATGTTTGGATTGACATTTTTTCATGTTCGGGAGTGGGGGGGGGGGGGGGGTGACACCTTACTCGAACTTTTTTAACAGATGGATACTAATGGTTTCTTTTAAAATTTGTGGCCGTGACTTTAAACTCGGTGGAACACTGAAAACAATATTTTACCGTTGCAAAATTAGACCAATTTTGTGACCCCCCCCCCCCATACGTTCTAAGAATCGTGATTGCGCCAATGATTATTTAACTTATGGTTTTCTTTTATTCTATACGCAGGAGAACAATGGACGGTCCTGTAAGAGGTATACTGATGGCATGCATCTTCTTCAAATTCATTATATCTGCTTCTCCGTGTCCACCTAGATGTCAGTGTGACACCAACCAGATGGTCTCATGTGCCGGAAGTAATCAAACGGTCATACCGGGTGACCTCCAAAACTCGACAAGATTCCTATACCTTGAGAGGAACAATATTGAACTCATCCGAGAGAATACTTTCTCAAGCTTACACCATCTTGAAGAACTTGTCCTTGCGCAGAACAAACTTTACGAAATAGAGAGTGGAGCTTTCACCGGGTTGTCCAATTTGGACAAACTCTTCTTGGAGGAGAATTCGATTACAATATTGCCTCCAGGGATCTTTGCTCCATTGGTCAGGCTGACCGAGCTCCACCTAGGTGGCAATCGCTTCCCGGTGATTCCTCGAAACCTGTTTGGGTCGATGCCTTCGCTTGAACGCTTGTTTGTTGAAGGTAACCAAGTGAATCTAACCATCGAGTCCGAAGCTTTTGATGGACTAGGAAACCTGATGGAACTGTCGCTTCGGTCAAGTCGGATCCAGAGGCTTTCACATGGCATGTTTAGTGGTCTCCTGAATCTAGCCCGCCTAGATCTCAGCTTAAATACCTTTGGTTCTTTCACAACGGACGTCAGGAAAGATCTGCAACACCTTAAAGGTAAGCGAGACTCCCACACGGAGCTGACGACGCTTGCAGAGGGGACCTTTGCGGATCTCAAAAGCCTCGTCGACCTGAACATGAGCTCGTGCTCTTTGAAAGCCATCAACAGAAATATCTTCAAGGGTTTAACTTCACTCAAACAACTGTACCTTTCGGTGAATCAATTGCGTGGTATAGATGAGGGAACCTTCTGCGAATCACTGAATCTGGTACTACTTGAACTTGATGGAAACCCACTAGAGAATCTTGAAGCCGGTTCATTTAGGTGTCTGTACCGGCTTGGTTATTTGAATCTTAACCATACTGAATTTAATCGCATTGGAGAGGGGTTTTTCAAAGAGCTAAATGAACTGGCCGTGATCTCCCTGAGCAGTAGCGGTATTGTTGAAATAGCCGGCGATGCTTTCCAGAATAAATCTAGACTGACTCGGATAGATCTGAATGACAATGGCATAAAGAGTTTCAACACAAGTCTCTTCGATGGAACTCGTAATATCAGAACGCTCCGCTTACAGAATAATCAAATCAAAAGCTTGCCAGAGGATATCTTTAACGGTGTTTCTGGTCCTCTGAATCTGTCACTGAAGGGGAACCCCTTGGTCTGTGATTGTCAACTAGATTGGATCCCAGGGTGGTTGGTGAGGAATGGAGGAACTCTGGACAGGTGCGAATGTGATCAGCCACCTGCCCTTCACGGAATCCATCTCGATCGTGTCCCCTATGATGATTTCCACTGCACACCATACATAGTCAACGATCTTCCACACATCTACAACGCAACACCGGGAGACAAACGGTTCGAGATAGTCTGTCCTGTTAGTGGCAAACCGCCCCCTACGATTACGTGGACGGTCCCGAATGGAGAAACAATGTCTAAGAAAACGGTCCCTGAGTACCCAAACGGCTTGTATCGCGTCCGTGAAAACGACACCCTCGTCATCAGGGATATATCATCAGCAGTTGAGGGGGAGTTTACATGTGAGGCCAGGAATAATCTGGGACATATATCCGTGCAGATTGAGGTGCAGGTCGTTCAGATATCCAACAGCTGGATGACAGCTTTCCTTGTCGTGATGATAGTCCTCTTCGTCAGCTGTGCTATCTGTCTCCTGGTGACCTTCCTTGCGCCATGGCGGCGTCGGAGGCGCAGAAGAGAGCTAACTCGGACACCAGCTCGTAGAGTTGATCCGCGCTACGGTCCACTTAGCCCCATAGCTGAAGGCAATGAAACCGATGAACTATGATGAATCAACTGTAATATTCAAATAGATTGTATTATGTTTGTATTGTAACTCCTTCAAAAAAAAATTCTCCTTAAAGACTAAACACGCTCGAAATGACTGGAGCAAGAAGGACTGTATATACAACCATGTTTAAGAAAACGTACGTGTTATTAATGTTTGCATTTGATTGGCTGTGCGTGAGTTTGTTTTTGAATTTTGTCACCTTTTATTGACAACAATTTATATGAAACAGGGGCCCTGGGTGTAAAGGAACCAGATTCCCATGAGCCCCTTGGTCCGCCCCTGGATGTCAACATGTTCGCTGAAATATCAAGCCTAGAAATTGCAGTAACAACTATACTAGTTTAGAACCAGTATCACGTAGCTTGTGATAAATATTATGTACTTCTGTCAGATTTTGTTCTTCCAACTAGAAACCCAAGTTGTCACTAAAGGCGATTCCGTATTCGACCCTTCCCCCAAAAATGTTTTAAAATCTTCTAGCCTATCAAACATGTCACTTTTATAATACTGCCATATTAAGTCCATGTCTAATCTCTACCAATTTTTGGTTTGTTTTGATAAACCGTGTCAAATACAGAAACGCCCTATTTCTAATCAGTAAACAAAAGACCGCATTTCCATTTAATTTGTAAAATGTCCTCGTTTAGGCGAATCAAAGTAAGTGAACCATACTAAATGTACCACGAAAATACTCACACAATACGCATACACAGTGCTAAACTATGACTCATTAAAGATCTGAGCTGTATTTACATTGCTCTATTTTATTGATATTATGCACATAAATCACATATTGCCTCGTTTCTGGTATTATCTTAGTACAATAACAATAAATCCTCATAATACACTATGAATATGACGGACAAAGAAAGAGGACAAAAAATACAGTTCCTCATTCTACCCTCAACAATTGCCGTGGTAGACAAAGGAACATCTCTTCACTGCTATTATGTAAAAATGTGTAGAACAGGTGTCACATGCATATTCACCTGTTCTACACGCTTTTACATAATAGCCGTTAAGGGATGTTCCTTTGTCTACCACAGCAATTGTTGAAGGTAGAATGAGGAACTGTATATTTTGTCCTCTTTCTTTGTCCGTCATATTCATAGTGATACACACTGTTTTAACTGTACATAGAGAAAGACTAGAGGGCGCAATTTAATAGAAGATGGACCCAAATGTACATTAGTTGATTCAAATTTTTACAATTAGAGTAAATTTACAGGATTATTTGGAAAAATATTCACACACTTTCTGAAAGTATAAAATACCAAAAAAAAATATTAAAATTGTTTTAGAACGGATACATGTGGTTTTCTGATTTTGTTGGTACAGATAAAAGGAATACATGATTTTGTGATATGTGGTTTGTGTTTTGTTTCTTTTCATGCAAAAGGAAATTAAATGTTGTGATTTTACTTTTATTAATAATGGTATTAATTGTGTTACTGTTCTTTGTCGTAGTAATTTAAGGTCGAATAACAGCAACGTTATGTAAGGTGGAGAACAACCAATGAAATTCAAGATCTTATTGAAAATCCCAACTTTTCTACACGAATATTAAAAAGTATATGAATGAAATTAAGAATCTGCAAGAAAATCATGATAAAACAACGTAAATCATCCGTAATAATATAAACCAATGTAAATTAACTCGAATTGAATTATTGTAACTGTCTATTTGAACTCGAAACTGGATGTATCAACAAAATGTCATAAATAAGATATATTTTCACCAGTAAGGTCACTTCAGCTAGTTTGATAAGTTGTCAATTCTACACAGTATTGGGGGAGGGGGAGGGGGTGGGGATGGGAATGGGATAGCTGCGGCCCGCTATCATACCTGTGGAGAGAAGGAAAAAGAGGTTCCCGGAGGAAAATGAACCGAAGATAACTTTGTACTTTTACCTCGCACCCCCCTCCCCCCCCCCCCCCCCCCAATATTTTAGAGTCTTGCGAGGGCGACATGGATTCCCGAAATTTTGTTCTTGTACACTATCATTTTTATTATTGTTATTCTTTCTTTGAAAAAATGAGAATCATATTTGTTTGGATTTTAATCAGTAACATTCTGAATTTAAATTTGTTCCTTAGGAAACTTGACCACCCCTTCAGACGATCATTGATCCGCCCCTGATATAGGCTTTGATAAAATGTAAACACACTGGTCTCTGGACGAATTCAGCATTTATTCAATTCAAACCGTCCTTGGATCTACCATAGTATGTACTCCTTTTTATTTCTTTGACATGAAGCTGACATAAAGCAAGCAATATTTTATGAGTTCATCTCAAAATACTTCAAAATGTGTACATGACATATAGTATACCGAAATATCCATCATTGATAAATTATATAGATCTTGCGAAATATTAACGTAAGGCACTCTAATGAAAGACAATATAGGACGTCATATGGGCTTGACATTTCATCCACCAAATCTACTGATATCCGCGGATGTCAAATAAATCGACGGATAACCGTTCGTTTCCCTCAAATATCACGAAAAAGTGTCTGCTGAGAGTCAGAAGGCATTATCTAATAAAACTTTATAAAGAGTTAACGCCCTTATGACTCTCAGTAGGTGAAATAAAATATTATGCACTTTTGTGACATCATCAGCCGACGCCACTGAGGGACCTCTCGGCCAGCCGATCGAGAGGGAAAGGTTTGGGTTGTTGTCTGCTACTGCTGAGAGAGAACTGAGGCCAGCTGAAAGGCCGGCTAGGGAGATACCGCCGTGATCGAGTCCGTCTTCGAACCGGTGGGGTCGTCAGGTTATCCGTTGTGTCGGTTCGCTTCCTGGCACCATACACTGATTTAAAAAAAAAGAATTACACAAGATAATATAAAGGTATGAACTAGGTAATGGATATAAATCTATACTATATATTCCTTCTACTGTACTAACCCTCTGACATGCAAAAAATCCTGAAAAAATTCTCAAACCACGAAGATATATATGGTTTTCTTTGCAGGCGTCGATGTATGACACCCTCTAACAGTGATAACAGTAAATTCTCCCAACCATTTTTGAATTTTACCAACCGTTTTCCATGAAAAAAGACATAAAACAGGCTATTAAAAATCTGTCATCACTTAAATGTCTGGAATGGAATGTAGAGCCTTTTTATTGCTTTGTGAGATTTTCCATTCACATAAAATGTAATTAAATTGTAATAGTATAGTTGGGAGGAATTTTTGGGAGAATTAAGGAATCGATGAGATAAGTTTTTCCCAATTTGTACCATGAATAATGGTCCGTTTTCACTCAAATTTTAAGAATATCTTTAATTGTACATCTAGCATTGAAGTCACTACCTTAGCAACCCTATCTCTCATCTGAACAATGTTACCAAGTCCCTTTAAGGGACAGGAGCCCCTTTTCATTTCCTACTAAAACATCGTGCCCTAACTCCCCCATACAATTTAGAGAGAGAGAGAGAGAGAGAGAGAGAGAAAGAGAGAGATAGAGAGAGAGAGGGAGGGGGTGATAACGGTTTCTTGCAAAGAAGCAGAACATGAGAGAAGCAGGTCAGTGGAAGTTTGAGAAAATAAGAAAGTTGTGAATTTATAAAGTTGCGACCAATCAAATACAAATTTGCAGCTCTATGACGTATCTTGCAAGCTCCCCCTCAACTAACAAGCTCCTCTGAACTAAAAAAAAATCAGAATTTTCATTTTCCCTAAAGAAAAAAAAATGCACCCTAAATAAAGTCATTGCAAATACTTTTCTATGCAATCCCTGTATTGAAAAAAATCAAATCGTCATCAATAACGAAGAAAATGAAAGTTGATAAAATTGTATTTACGGAGAAAATTGAACAATTTAAAGGAAACCAAAACCTTCATACTAAGTTACTTTTATTGTAAAGTTTAAAAGATTTTAAGAAAATCAGTGAAAATTTGAACAAAATCGGGCAAGGAATAAGAAAGTTAGATGGTTGGTTCTTCGTTTAGATGGCGCTCTTCAATCTCAAAGATTATTTGCGCCAGTCAATTTCGTGTATAGCTTTGGCGTGGGCTTCGGAAATCAAGCCCACGAGCGACTTTCCTTGGTGAAATGAAATTAATAGTGATATGGTTTTATATAAAAATAAAAAAAAAAATAAAAAAAAAAAAAAAAAAAAAAAGCTGCAATATTAAAATTGCATAAAATGCACATAAAAGGCGAGATGGGAGTTAGTTGCAATTGTTCATGGAAAAACCGCAAATACTTCATTTTATATATTATTACAGGATCGACATAAGTTAAGGGGATCCCTGATAGCTTTAAAAGCTATCTAAAACGATTAGTATCGTATATGTAACCCAATAATTCACGAGTAAAAATTGGGTTAGACATCAATAATTGTTTCAGATTGGGGTTGTTCAATTTAATCCTTTCTTTTAAGAGACGTCTATCTTTGTCGTATTTTGTACAATAGAAAATAAAATGTTTAATTGTTTCATCTTCTTGACAAACTTCACAAAGACCAGTATCGTGTTGGTTAATTTGAAAAAGGTAATAATTTAAACTACAGTTACCTACTCTTAGTTGTTGTATCAAGCATTCTTCTCTGCGAGATAGGCCTTGTCTATGTATGGGCTTTGAAACGTCGCTATGCAAAGCATATAAAAATCTACCGTGTTCTGCATTGTCCCATTCTGCTTGCCATAATTTGTTATAATGGATCAAACGAGAGGCTGCCAATTCACTTCTTGTATTTGGTATAACTATGTCTATACACCTTTTCATGGCTCCTTTTTTGGCAGCCCGATCTACGATCTCATTGCCCCTAATATCGCAATGTGACGGAATCCATTCAAAAGCAACACAAACATCCTTAAACTGCAAAATATTAATTATGGATAAAATTTCATTTACAATAGCACATCTAATAAAGTATGAATCAATCATTTGTAAAGCTGACAAAGCGTCGCTAAAAATTACCACCGAAGAGGATTCAATAAATGTATTAATCCACTCTAGTGCCATTAGTATGGCCACTAGTTCTGCTCTCATAATACAGATATGGGCTTTTTGAGCTTTTTGAAATGAGCTTTTTGAAATGACTAGTCACTAGAGGGCGGTATTCAATTTGATGACATCATCTGTGAACAACTCTCCATGCCTTTTGTACATAACATTTCACAATTTTTTTGTTTTCTTCGTATTTATTTGTGTTCTAGATCCGACTTCATAACATGTGAAGTAGAATATCATTTTGCATTCTATATCTTGCTTTCAGGGGAGTACATTATCTCAATCACAAGAAAGAAGGAAAAACATGAAATTTGATGTACAAAAGGCATGGAGAGTTGTCCACAGATGATGTCATCAAATTGAATACCGCCCTCTAGTGACTAGTAATTTTAAAAAGCTCTTACTTCCTCATTCCTTGCCCGATTTTGTTCAAATTTTCACTGATATTTTTCAAATATCTTAAACTTTGCAATAAACTGTAATTTAGTATGAAGGTTTTGGTTTCCTTTAAGAGGAGCTGACAAGATACTTAAAGGGATCGTTTAACAATGTTAAATCTGAGATGCATGGCCCTGCGTGTTATCAGTGTCTGTGATATGGTGCAATATTGTAGCCCTAAACACATTGTGCTTCAAAATGACCATGAATGCATCCAAAAAAGTAAAAATCTTTGAGTGACCGGTTTTGCCATACTCATTTCCCCCAATAGACTGCAGTGCTATAAAAACCGTTAAGAAAACGAATTTTTAAATTTCGATTTTCAATCATAAATATGATAATCAGACAGGCGATCGGCTTGTAAAAGTCACGGGTTCCTGACTGACCTAAAGGTTTATAATTATCATGGCAGTATAAGCTAAATCCAGGATTTTGTTTCAGAATCTGAGACAAAGTTATCCAATCCCTTTAACAGATTTCTTACGTACCTTTCTCTCCGAGTCCATGACCAAAGTTCATAGTGAGATGAACACAGACGACGACCAGAAAGACCCGGATGATGAGACCCAGTATACCACAGACAATGATACATGTAGGCAGAAGCTTGTCAGCTTTGGTCGGCCATTCCTCCCATCGCATCGATAACTAAGGGAATACCAAACAAGCGAACCAAGAATTTACACTAATGGTAACGCCAGGAATATACGATGATAACTACATTGTTGCCAAAAAAAATTGGATAATTTTTTGTTGACCTCTTATCATGAAGTGACTGTTAAAATATGATGTGTTCTTAATAGACAGAGTTTATATCCTCTCAGAACACTATTAAGTAACCTAGAAATTCATGGAGATTGGTCAATAAAGTTCCGAGAAACTTATCTATCGAGAATAAACCATAATCGTCACAATCATAATTATCATGAAAAGAGGTTAGAAAAATATTCCAACTTTATGGGCAACACTGTATATAGGGATTAGCTTATCGGCTTTGATTGTCCATTGCTGAAATCACATGGAACGCAAAACACCCTCCCCCCCCCCCCCCCAAAAAAAAAAAAAAAACTAAAAAAAAAAAAAAAAAAAAAAAAACTATCAGTTTCCATATGAAAATGTTTAGTTCCTTTGTTTGCAGTTGTGTGTCAATGCACAGGGGGCGTTGAGTCCTTTGGTTGCATCCCTTTCAATGAAAGTCAAAGTTTGGCCCCTGGAGGCACCCCTTTAATTCTATTTCCTGAATACGCCATCGATTTTGGGGTAGAGAAATGTCTTCGTTACCCCCCAAAATACACACTACAATAAGAGCGATGATTGACGACACTCCCTCGCTGCCGTTTTAATAAAAACACTCTAAACATGATATTGCACCAATTGTAAATAAAAGTTACTTTCTAACAATAAAAGACATTCAATTAAGCATTTAGTGAGAAAGGCATTAGCTGTGAAAGTATTACTATTGACCTCATTGCACCCACCCTCTCCATAACAATAACAAAACAACAATAACAACAGCGATTACACAACAACATCATCAACATCATTATCAACATCATCATCATCATGATCATCATGAACATCATAATCATCATCAACAACATCATCAACAACTTCAACATCATAACAAAAATATCATCATCTAAAACTTCATGATCATCATGAGCATCATTATCATCATCCTCATCAACATCATCATCGTCATCAAAATCATCAACAACAACATGATCATCATCAACAACTTCATGATCATGATCATCATCATCATCATCGTCAACAACCTCATGATTATCATCATCAGTAACATCATCAACAACAACATCATCATCAACAACATCATCATCATCATCATCATCATCAACAACATCATCATCATCATCCTCATCATCATCATCATCATCAGTAACATCATCAACAACATCATCGTCAAAAACAACAACAACAAAACAACAATATTTCCAGATATTGATTATAAAGGCTTCTTACGTCGATGAACTTGTAGGTGATGAAGGCGGGTAAAATCCAACCCGTCGCGAGAAAGAGCACAACCAATATTCTATTTTCAAATCGTAACTGCAAAAGAATAAGAAAACACGAAATATAATAAAGAGATGGTTAATAATAATAATAACGGTGGTGGCTTCTTATATAGCGCACATGTCCGTCACGTTGTGACGCTCCTGGCGCTGCCCCGATTATTACCCTGGCTTTAGCAAGGCAGCCACTACGGCGCTCTAGCATTTCAAGGAATTAATTCCTGCCAGGTACCCATTTACATCACCTGGGTTGAGTGTGGCAAATGCAGATCAATGCCTTGCCAAAGGACATTAGAATACCAAGTTCAAAGTGCCATAATACTCGACTCTTTTCATAGTGTGCATCTGAACGGAAAAACAAGACATTCGAAGACGATGTAATGCTTTTCTTGACGACCAGAAAGTTTGTCTGAGGCTTGCCTGACCTACCTACAACTAGTCTAAGGATGACGTATTCAATTCAGAGATGAACATTTTGTTGTTGCTATCATTGGTAAACATATACAAAGCGTGTAGATCAGGGACTCTAAATTTAATGGGGGGGGGGGACGCCCATTCATTGTTTATGCCAACAGGGATAGAAATGGGCCGTTTCATAAAACTTGTTACCAATGACAAATGCTAAATTGCTATGACAAATTTGCTCTAAGCCAATGAGATGCCACGATTTCAGCTTATAACAGTAGCTTGTTAATTGTTATTGTTATCAAGTTTTATGAAACAGGGTCCTGGGGAGTGTTTCACAGAGACTAATATCGTCTTTAAGTTGGACTTAACTATGGCAAGCCGTTCATGCCACTAGTTCCCTTTAACCATTCCTGGCATTGGCTTCTTAAGGAACGTACAATTTGTGGTCCCAAATCTACAGAACTTACCTTTGTTGATAGTTCATTGTTGAAGGAAAAAATATTATCTAAAGATCATAATTGAGAGACCAATGGTGAGAGCGGCCAGTGGCATAAATGGCCTGCCATAGTTAAGTCCAACTTAAAGTCGATCTTAGTCTTTGTGAAACACCCCCCTGGTCTATATATACTCACTGCCAGAAAGCCGAGAATGTTCCACATTAATCCTAGAGGCAGTCCCAGACTTAGGACGATCTTCTCAAAACCATTTATGTTGATCCCGTCATCGAGGACGAGGATGACCATGCTGGTCTTTTAAAAGAAATTGAGTGAAAGAAAGTTAAACGAAATTGAGTGAAAGAATTGTAATGATATTAAAGTCAAAACAAGCTTTTGATCCTGTAACTTTTATGTGAATTGGAGATGTGACCCCACAGAGTAATAATGATAAAGATTTTAAGTCATGTTTGAAGGTTAGGAAATCATGTTGTGCTTTTTACAGTTGTTACATGCAATTCATAACAAAACGGACAGCTAAAGATGAATTAAAAACACTGATTCGCCGCCTCAATGAGTACAACCAGGGTGACAGAATTCACTATGAAGGCGGAGATGGGCGGACTACACAGAACGGACGGGCTGACAAGTTTCACATGCATTTCAAAGCAAACACAAAATTGTCAGAAATTAATCGGGCATTCAGAATCTAAAATGTTCTGACAAGGGACGGGATGTAATAAACATATATACTTTGCCAAAAAAAAATATTATTGAGTTATTTATTTTGAGTGACATTTTTGAGCGAAATTTATTAAGCGACAAAAAAAAAAAAAACGTTTCCTCACACCCTAATCCCCCACACCCCGATCCCCCCTTTGAACGCCCCATGCAGCGGCGATCGGGAACCAGTTTGATATGAAAGAGAGAAATTAATGGAAAAATGTATACATCCTTACCTCTAGCTGTAAGTCAACTTTTAATAGATCAACAAAAAGGTACATATTCCCGCACAGGTCCTGTAGGTAAAGATTGGCGCCCACGGTTCTGAAGATAAGATTCTTGGCTCGCTTGTATTTCACTCCCATAGTGATACTGTAACCAATTTGGAACGGGAAGAATATGCAGACGATTATCAGGCGAGCCTGTAGAATAAAACAAAGAAAAATAATATTAAAGTCACTTCGTTATTACTGAATTATCTCAATCGATGCGTTGTGGTCGAGTGGTCTCATTTATCAGTCACCCGGTTGTGGAACAAAGGGTTTATGGTTCGAGACCCAACCGCGGCACCTACGTTCTTTGCCACCCGACTCTAAACCACGAGTGAACGTGTACCGGTGAGGATCGTCAAAAGCCACTGTGACGTATGGCAATACCCTAAATGCATGCACATGGTAGGAAGGCGCTCTAAGGAGTGGAGATGGTGCACATTTGTGTTCATTTTAGAGTGGATGTTCTAATAATTATAATCATGATCATTATGTCTGTTGCAACCGATTTCTTTCGGGTTATATTATATTACAAGTTTGGTCGCCCATGAAGGTTCCTTTCCTGAGGCCGCCATCACGTTCAAGCTATTATGGCGGTCTCCTAAATGTTTCAATATTGAAATGATTGGTCACCTATGTGTTTTTCAAAGGTATAATTATTTAATCGATTTATGTCATGATATGATTATATATGTATTTTGACTTTTGTTAACAATAATATGGATCGAAAATAATATCGCAAAAATAGTAATATTCGTTTTTCTCGCAATGTATGGTCAAAAGATCACGACGTTTCGTGCGCCGCTGCAACACTTCGTCAAACGTATATCGCTAGCGATATTATTTTCGATACTACATCCGCAATGAGTCATATTTTTAGCAATATATATGTACCTAGTTTGTTTATTACTTTTTATTATGTTGAAAAATGAAGAAATCAAATCAAATTAACAAACAAACAAGTGTAATCCAGTGAAATCTAGTGATCAGCGGTAATCTCACACCTTGTCTGTGCATTTGAGTATCAACGTAATGTGTCATATAAACGTAAACTACCATCAATATGATATCGGTATTAATATCAAGAGAACTACAAAAACAATTATCGCACAAGATCAATGAGTTTCAATTCGCACGTAAGTGTGCACCATATCCACTCCTGTTAGCATTTGTACTGTACACATGCATTTACGCAGGGTATAAATTTGCTTGTAAATTCGGCAAAATTTCATCCAACATTCCTCATTTAAGATACTCCAGCGAAGTCCCCACTCAGGGCAGGACCCCTTCGTGAAATACAACCTTTCTAAAAGAGCATAATCGCTCTACTCACCAACTCAACCGAATCATCTGATGTTTCTAAGAAGTTTGTGATACAGTAGACGAAAATGACAGACATACTGAAGGCAAAGACGAAGAGCTCGTAGGCGTGCTCGCCCAGGACTCCATTGACCACGTAGAATAAACAGAACACTAGAAAAGAAGAAGAAAAACGTGAACAATCTTAGAACTGACATCGGCATATCGAAAATAACGTGAACAAGAACATGACATGGACTATGAATTAAGCCTCAATTTGTGAATTTACATTTCCCTTGTATCTGTTACCCAGAGCGAGCAAGAAAATGTTTAAACCTGTCATTATATCAGAAAAAAATATGCCTCACAAAAGTCAGTGTATGGATGTCAAGACAATGGGCAGATACTGGGGGAGGTGGGAAGGGTTGCGGCATCCCCCTTCGATACAAGAGAGAGAGAGAGAGAGAGAGAGAGAGAGAGAGAAAGGGAGAAAGAGAGAGAGAAAAAAAAAAGAGAGAAAGAGAGAGAAAGAGAGAGAGAGAGAGAGAGAGAGAGAAAGAGAGAAAAAGATCAAGGGAGGGGGGGGGGGGTCTCTTTGGTAAAAGGGGCCCGTCTCTCCCCCCTCCTCCTTAGGACCGGCGGAATTCTCGCCTGAACATTTTTTTTTTTGGGGGGGGGAGTTCACTTTATGCTCATTGCGTAATATATACATGTATGTTTTAATGGATATGAAATAAAAGAACTTGAACTTCCGATCTACTCACATATATTAATAAGAAGTAAGATGGCGAATGTGAAATCATCTGAAGCCGCCTCTACGATGGCCACTCGGTCAGCGGTCAATCCAAGGGTGGCTAAAATGGTCAGTAGACAGGTGGTCAAAAAAATCTTCTCTTCACGATTCAGCTTTGAAAACTTCCGGTACTGCAATAGATGATAGGAACAGGTTGATTAATATTGATGATAATAAGTAATAATGATGCTTATTAAAATGATGATATGCTACTACTACAGTGTACTACTACTACTACTTCTACTACTACTACTACTACTACTACAACTAATACTACTACTACTACTTCTACTGCTATACTACTTCTTCTACTACTAATACTACTATCATAATTACTACTACTACTACTATCATAATTACTACTACTACTACTACTACCATAATTACTACTACTACTACTACTACTACCACTACTACAACTACTACTACTACTACTACTACTACTACTACTACTACTGCCACTACTACTATTACCACTAATACTACTACTACTACTACTACTACTACTACTACTACTACTACTACTACTACTAATAATAATACTAATACTAATACTAATACTAATACACTCCTTCTTATACTACTAATACACTACTGCTACTACTACTACTGTTCTACCACTATTAGTACTGCCTATATTGACACAAATAATCAAATTCATTTGTAATATTGCTACTGACTTTTGGATACAAAAATATGTGTAGTATATATATATATATGGATGAATTATCACATTTCCCCTGATTCATATCATCACTTGCTACTTTTCAATTTCCACTTCAATTTTTTATAAAATTAGTATTTATATTATCAAACGGAACTGTAGAAAGATATATTTTACAATCATTATCATTCGCAGATCGTTGTCATTGAGAAAACGACCGTCCTTGACGTCTATCAATTGGATAGTTTCCTTATTAATTTGAGGAGGTGGAGGCAGGAGGGTTCTTTCAAGGGGTTTTCCCTCGCGGTGAGTAAAAGGACGAGACACTTCTATATTAAGACACACATAGCTCGCGGCCGGACTTGGTAATTAGCACCACACTATAATGTTTGTTGGCAAACTACGGTAATTTGTCCAGACGGGCACATTACAAGACATCAATGTATTTGAAGGCAGATGTTTAAATAGCGCACGAATGACACATACTAACTATTCATAGTGTATTGATAATTTGTACATGACACCCCCCCCCCTCCCTCACACTGAGGCTTAATAGGGGGAACAGTACTGTTAGTTACAATAAAATGATTTACAAACAAAAGTTCTGTAGTAGTGCTGTATATTAAACTCAGCATTATAATTCTAAACATAAAAACACACGTAGGCGAAACATTTTCATGATGAGGGGGAGGGGGGGGGGGGGTGATGCCTTTTGCCCGAATATTTACGCTTTCTTCCTAACTTACACATTCCCAGTGGTACTAGGGGGCTGCTGCACCATACCACCCCTTCCCTACCTCATACATCCTTGAAAATACAGCACCAAATCGATTAATTGTTAATTTACAATATGGTTCATAATTTATGGGTGATAAGGAGTCATTTTATATGTTGTATTAGACGAACAATTCCATTTTGCAGGCCACAGGAATTTGTTATTAAAGGGGATTGCCATAAGCCCATATAATGATACAAAGACACAAACAGTATTCAATGAAAAGAATAAGAATAATTTGAAGTAAATATTAACATATAATATTCATAATCATTATGAAATATAGACTAATAACATCACAAACTTAAAAACATTTTATGCATGTTCTCCAACGAGTAAAAGTAGCTTGCCGGCTTGGATCTATACCCCCTTACGTAATCATTCATGTATTCGATACGGAAGGGTTGAGGTAAAATTATGAAGAGAGCATGAGGGCTAAACATTCATAAAAGCAAATATTTGCATAGTCATTGTGAGTTAAAGTGCTAGTAAAGATTTACTTAAAGGAAGTGGAACCTGACGAGACTACGTGTCTTTCCCATGGCCTGACTCGGGGCCAATCGGGTACGACTCGACCGCAGTAATCACGTTCATGCAACATACGCGAAACCGAAGCGTGATGAGAACTTCGGTCTGTTTCGCGAACGCTGACCATGCAGAGATTAAGTCGCTGACTACCGTTAATCAAGTCCATTCCTTTACGTGCAGTTGTCCAAAATAAGACGTAGATGGCGTTAACCAGTATTTGCCAAGCTACACTCCCTTTAAACATGGCCTTTCAAACGACGGGGGCGTACGCCGGCTTCATCCTGTATGCTGGATACACCACATTCATAATGTTATAGCTCAACGGATAGAGCCAAACGAGGAATAAGAGACAGTGCAGATTCAGGATATCCACATTTCCTTTAATCCATCTTGACTTATTAATCGTTTCAGAAGCGACGACACATTACATCATCTACATTGAGAATGTGTGTTTGATATAAGCAAGAAATTCCCCTCATAATTTTATATTTGTGCAATTAAGTCATGAAGTTGGGCGTATGTAAGAAGTCGCGTACATCATAATCTTGATTTCGAACTAAACGAATAAATATGGAAGCTTAAAAGTGCCATTCAGATGATCATATGACAAGATCCAAGATCTTATCATGTCGACATCTTTTAGAACAGATGACCAGATGACAAGATCTAGGATCTCATCATGTCGACATTTCTTAGAACAGATGATTAGATGACAAGATCTAGGATCTCATCATGTCGACATCCTTTAGAAGAGATAATAAGATGACAAGATCCCGGATCTCTTCATGTCCACATCCTTTAGAAGAGATGATCAGATGACAAGATCCCGGATCTCACCATGTCGACATCCTTCAAAACAGATGATCAGATGACAAGATCTAGGATCTCATCATGTCAACATCCTTCAAAACAGATGATCAGATGACAAGATCTAGGATCTCATCATGTCGACATCCTTTAGAAGAGATAATAAGATGACGAGATCCCGGTTCTCTTCATGTCCACATCCTTTAGAACAGATGATCAGATGACAAGATCTAGGATCTCATCATGTCGACATCCTTTAGAACAGATGATCACATGACAAGATCTAGGATCTCATCATGTCGACATCCTTTAGAACAGATTATCAGATGACAAGATCCCGGATCACATCATGTCGACATCCTTCAAAACAGATAATCAGATGACAAGATTTAGGATCTCATCATGTCGACATCTTTTAGAAGAGATGATCAGATGCAGTGCCATGCGCTATAGCTAGTGCATTATTGCATGCATGCGCACGTGCACGATGTGCGCGCATGTTCGTTTTCAAACATCAGATCTCGACATGATGTGATCTTGGATCTTGTCATCTGGTCATCTGTCCTGAAGGATGTCGACATGATGTGATCTTGGACCTTGTCATCTGATCATCTGTTCTAAAGGATATCGACATGATGAGATCCGGGATCTTGTCATCTGACCATCTATTCTGAAGGATGTGGACATGATGAGATCCGGGATCTTGTCATCTGATCATCTCTTCTAAAGGATGTCGACATGATGAGATCCTAGATCTTGTCATCTGATCATCTGTTCTAAAAGGATGTCGACATGATGAGATCCTAGATCTTGTCATCAGATCATCTGTTTTGAAGGATGTCGACATGATGAGATCCTAGATCTTGTCATCTGATTATCTGTTTTGAAGGATGTTGACATGATGAGATCATATAGATCTTGTCATCTGATTATCTGTTTTGAAGGATGTTGACATGATGAGATCATATAGATCTTGTCATCAGATCATCTGTTTTGAAGGATGTCGACATGATGAGATCCTAGATCTTGACATCTGATCATCTTTTGTACAGTATGTCGACATGATGAGATGAATTATCTCGACATCTGGGTGGCACTTTTAAGCTGCCATAAATAAAGGAAATCATACACACACTAATTAAGCTGCGTCGAGACTTCAAGGTAAAATTCAGAATAAAAATAGAACAGAGAATTTATTATTATTCAAAATGAGTAAGACAAAGCGAAGACAAAGCGAGATGTTTTAGAAATGTATTTCCACCGCGACTGCATCCTAATGATAAACCTTCATGATTTGTTATGGAGTTAAGTAAGCTAAACACAAACTAGGATCATTTGAAAATTTAGCAAGTCAATGTGTTATGAAATTCGTGTGCAATTCAAACAAATATATGATTAAGAATTTGTAGCCGTATGAGGGTAGATTTTTTTTTAGCCCAAAGCCTCAACAAAAGCCCATTCATTTGCTCACGAAACGTTTCTCTTTTAAAAAAAGAAAAGTCATCAATGATTATGTGTTGGAGTGCCATTAGCGTCACGTCGTGACGGATTGTGTGCCATATAAGATTATTGTCATCATTATAAAAAGTGTAGAATAATGTCAGATAATTTATGCACCATCATTGTGAAATTTTCAAGTATGGTGACGATTTGGCGTTCTCAAAAATAATTAAAAAAAAAAAACAATAATAAAAGCATTTAGGCCCCAAATTTGACAGTATTGTCACGGTTGCTTTCAGTCTTTGGCCTGTATTTAAAAAGATAATCATACTTATGGTTTTGGTTCCTGTGAAAACCCACGAAAAAACACCCAACTTTAGATACTGATAGTCATTAGAATAACCTTGACCCATAGTAAAGTTTATTTTCAAATAGTTAATCCAAAGTAATACTTAGTCAAAACGAAACAAACTTCACAAACGTGGGATTTACTATTTAAAAATAAACTTTACTGTAATCCGTGAATGAAATAGACTTTTTATCTTTGTCTAGGGTTATAGGTCAGATGGCATCTAGGAACCTGATCACGTTACCGATGTAAATTTCTTCGAAAAAATGAAACCTGCTATTTTAAGTGATAGAGAGGGTTTTACTACATGATCTTCATAAACCTGAAACCGTCATTGCGACCTTGGATGAAATATTACTCATTTTTGCGGCTTTAAGGGAGCTCCCTTTCCGAAGAAAAAGTTCGCACAAACTTGGCACAGCCTTCATAGGGTATGTTTATGCTCAACTTTTTCTGGCCAGAATCAGGCATCTGTTACGCGTTTAGTTCAAAACACGGTTGCGTCCTTTCTCATTTTTGTAGAATCACTGAAAAACGGCGATCACGATCGCCGATCGTAAACTCACAAAAAGGTGCGTTTACGATCGGCGATGCTGCAAAATCGGCGATTCTGGGAAGCATAAACGCACAATCATTTTGTAAACGCGTTTAAACGGGGTCAACGCACTCACCTCTAGTGGGTCTACGTAGCATGCGCAGTGCAGGTTTGCGAATCCACCTGCAAGGCCACCCAGCCAGATTTGCCTGGAGGAGCCAGAGAAGTGAGCATTAACAGTACACCGTGGATCTGCGATTACGATGAGCGTTTACGATGAGCGTTTACGATGAGCGTTTACGATCGCTCATTCTACCTTCAAAATCAAGCATAAACGCACCCTTAGAAGGTGGAACCACATGTGTTCATAATTCTCATCTGGATTATGCTGTTTTCACTGATTGGATGACCTATAGGGAACTGGTTGATATTTTGCGCTACAAAAAGTTTGAACAACACATTTATGCACATTATTTAACGTTTCTTGCATTGTATACTATTGTGTGAAAACTATTGGCATTATATTGTAAGATAGGTATAATAATAATAACATTACAAAAAGTATTGAAAATAATGGTGCTAATAATGTTAGTAATAACAATTTTTACAGAACAAGAATAACGGTGAAGCTGCTACCGGTAATAATAGTAGTATAGTAGTGGTATAGTAGTGGTGGTAGAAGTGGTATTAGTGGCGGTGGTAGTGGTGGTAGTAGTAGTAGTACTACTACTAGTAGTAGTAGTAGTAGCAGCAGCAGTACAGTGAAACCTGTCTATAAAGACCACCCAAGGGAGACAAGAAAACTGGTCTGTATAGGCAGATGGTCTTTATGTACAGGGTCCTTTATTACATGTTTCAATGAGAAACCATTTTCAAGGGAAACAAAAAATGTGGTCTTTGTAGACAGGTGGTCAATAAAGCAGGATTTAATGTATTAGTAGTAGGAGTAGTAGTAGTACGTAGTAGTAGTAGGAGTAGTAGTAGTAGTAGTAGTAGTAGTAGTAGGAGGAGTAGTAGTAGTAGTAGTAGTAGTAGTAGTAGTTGTTGTAGTACAAGGACCTTTTTCAGATATATTTCATTTTAATCTTGATCATTAGTAATTGTGATTTTTAGCACATGAGCATCCATAAATCATGATGACGACTGAAAACCATACCCTAAGCTATCTCAGATACCTTTATCTCCATCAGGGTTTGATATACTATTATACTTAGCAGCTGACAAAGACAGAGGAAGATGGGCTTAGCTACAGACAATAAAGAACAGGGTAAATCTATTTTGGTAGATCCCGGTTGTGGTAGCGAGAAATTAATCGTTCACTGCCTTGTCGCTTGTTAGAAACCAAACCGAAGCAATAATCATAACCTCTGGGTATCATTATTCATCTAATTCATGTTACTGCATATATTTTTAAAAATCACCGAGAATAAATCATTTTCGTATTTTCAAACCCTATTTTTTATTTTTTAAATAATATATGATAATGAAGATGATTGTGTCATCATGATGAAACAACAATCTTCATGAACTACAAAAGTAAAATTTAAATCCTAAAAAACGAAGAAACTATGTAAACTATTATATTTTACTGTGCTGCAAGAGGTTCTAGGCCCCGTCTTATAAATAGTTGCGATTGATCCGAATCAGTCGTAAATCCTCCAATCAGTCGTAAGTTTGCAGTCCCCTTTCTCTTATGTACAAAGTTGCGATTGATATCAACTCTTTTTAAGACGGGCCCCTGTTGTGCTTAAAATGAAAAGTTTTAACATTTAAAAATATATTCGAATGTATTTAACGATGGTGATTTCCTAATTCCTATAGGGGTAAGATATTACCATCGAATAGTGTATGAATACTGATATGATCAGTGTAATCGAACCAGTCCAATGGTTTTAAGTAATTACTTCCGAAATCCAGAGTCCAACTTTAAAAGTATGTTTTGATGCATGGTAGCATACTATGGCATAAACATGGATTTCCGAGAGACGAAGATATAATGGAAATATAAACAAGATAAAAGTGGCGTGTACATCTTAGGATAAAAACCGGTGTAAGTCCCCAGTTTGAAGGCCTAGGGGAAAATAAATACTTGCAATGGGTCTACAGTACGCGGGGCTGTATATGAGTGCGCCATCCACCCCTACTCCCCCTTTTTTGTAGCAATTAATTCTGGGGAGAGGTGAAAAATAATTTGTGAGCGTTTTCATTGTTATTATGCAAATAATAATAACAATAATAGCTCATATTATTTATATTGCGCCTTATACTTTGTTTCTAGGCGCAGTATTACCCCGGTCATCGGATTCAGGCTTACCCGCACACATTGTATGCACATTCTCCACTCCCTGGGGAGCATTACAAGCACCACTTGCTCATCCAACCACATTAACTTTCGCATCCTAGGTACCGGTTACCCATTTAACACCTGGATGGAGAGTGGCAAATATAGGTTAACATCTTGCCAAAGGAAATTAGTACCGTGTCGGGGATCAAACCACGACCTTCGAATTTCAAGTCAAGTGCTCAAACCACTCGACTTCAACACTTCTACAAACGTGGAAGAATATCAGATAGAAATGTTCCCTGAAAAGCATGGCTCTTCAAATGCCTTCATATTCTAAATATGACATGTAACAGTAATACCTTAAAAATGTGGGCCTCATTTTATGCCATATGTTTGTGTAGTCCCATATATCTTTCTGTGTACAGTGCTTGTTACTTTTACCAAGACTGGGCCAAATTTCTGATCATTTTGATGATTCCAGAACCTTGCAATACACACAAATTCTTATATGCTAGATGATCAACCTTTTCGGATCGATTCTACACCGTTTCTTTCACAATGTGATCGCACGGCCAGAGCTCAACTTTATCAGTGAGCATTGAACTCATCGTGCCATATTCGTATATATCTCAGGGTGACCCACTGTACAAATCTCTTTGGATATTTGAATGGTTTGACTCGTGTATCATATGCCTACACACTGAAACTACATAAGCTCAGTAGAGTCCGACAAATTTCATCAAATGATTGATATATTAGCATGTATCTGATCTATCACCATACACATGTACATGATGTATGCATCAAAATATGATGTGCCATAATTATACAACATAAAAAAAATTGTTGAGATTTTAAGTTTAACAAAAGAAGAAGTAGAAGATGAAGAAGAGGAAGAAGAAGACGGAGAAGAAGGAGAAGAAGCAGAAATATAAGAAGAAGGAAGACGCCTATAAATATTATAATGGGGTTTACAGCTCCATGCAATTATATTACACGCAAGGTATGACAGTAAACCATGTTTTCTAATTTTTGTTAACAGCAACTACAACAAAAGTGCTAGACTGCTAGAGATTACATATCACGGACCGTTTAAACAAAGGGTCTCGTTATTGGTCAAAATAAGTGAACGAATCTAACATAGTTATTATGTAATCAAAGTAAAAAAGAAAAAGAAAAAAAGAAATGCCGATATATAATTTATAACTGTACAAAATGAACAAACCTTCTGAAAAAGGAGTTTTACAATGTTACTAATACATGTAATAATGAAAGTTAACGTTGGAAGAAATAAAAAATAAATTTACCGGTCCGACTAAGGTATCAACTGTAGGTCTATCTCTCTCGACGTCAACACCGAATTCGGCGAAGGTTGAAGGTCTATCATGGTCTTTGAATTCGGTGAAGTAAGGTTTTAAATCCAATCCAAACTCGGCGAAAGTTACTGGTCTTTCTTGTCTTCTATGCGAACCTTCGCCGCCATTTTTAACTCTTCTAGTTTCCACCGCCGCCATTTTGATTCCCCGAATCAACTCGGTAGAGATAGATCTATGTACACGCGCTTTACTTTTGAGTTGAGTCGCCTGCTGCACATGAGAAGGGGGAAAAGTTCACACACGTACGTAGCAAGTTAATGTAGCCCGACTGTGTGTGTATGTGTGTATAGGGATGCATGGCTATACACACAAGCAGGGATGCCTCTCATATCACATGCTTTAGATGCATGCACGGTGCACTAGGAAGAAGAAGAAAAAGTTTGCCCCAGGTTTATGCGGTTATGTTGTATCTATTGGCAAGTCATTGCCACCGCCCCTTGTTCGATTGTGACTTGAAAAGTACCCTCTTCCGCACTGGTCCCCTTCCCCGGTAGTCCCAATTAGCCTCCGTGATCCAGACTCTTTACCCGCAAAAGAGCACCACGGCACACCCGCTAGAAGCTATCACAACGTGTTCTTCGAAAGACAGCGAACAATTGCAAGTCTAATCGTCCAAACTATCAAGATTCGCGTCAAGTTCGTTAAATCTAGTCTTAACCTAAACATCTGAAACCAATCTTGTTATTCTCTTGAATTTTTTTTTTTAACCGGCGTTTTACATATAATTTTAAAGAGTGCCTTTATATCCACCACACTCCAAATCCCACTTTCTGGCAAAGCGTTTGAAATCAGACGGCTGGTGTGAGTTGAGAATCGTCTGTGTATCTTCTAGTAATTAAAAAAGTAAAACAATGTACAGGTCAGTAATAGCTTGATGATAAACTCACGGGTATGCAAGCTAGCCGTGTTGGACTAATCATACCTAATTAGCTTGATTATAATCAATGGCAGATCAAGAGGAAGGGAGTGTGGGGGAGGGGGGGGGGGTGAGGCGTGGGGCAAATGCCCCTGCTAATTCAAACCCGGCATATCTCAAGTACACATCGAGTATAAAAAGACAATACACCCCCACTTGTGCCGCCAGTGGGTAACCTAAAGTCCATTGGCTCCTGAAATGTGAAAACCCTTTTCTTCTTCTTGTGCTTGTCATGAAACTTCTTTTTTTTTGGGGGGGGGGGGGGTGAAAACATATAACCCCAAGTATATAAATTTATCTGTTGATTGATCTTTTTTATCTAATTATTATTTAAAATATTTATTTACAAATTTATTTATTTATATACTTACTTATGTGCTTGTCAGAGAATTGTTTTGGAAAAAGGGATACCAAATTACTATGACCCCCCCCCCTTGTCACAGAGCTTTTAGGCGTGCCCCCCCCCCCCCCAATAGCCGAAAATCCTGGATTCTCCATGGATAACACCTATGTAAAGTGTGACCTAATTCAGCATCGCTCATGAACGGGAGCTCTTTTCCGGTCTTGTGAGATCGAGTTAGGAGCAGGGAGTTATGTTATTGATCAGCTGTACAGTTAGGGATTGGATCAAAGACAGTGGCGGATACAGAATTATCTAGAGGGGGGGGGGGGGACAAGTTCTAAACTTCTGTGACAAGCAAAAGAAGAAAAAGAAGAAAAAAGGGAGGGGTCATCAGGTCTTTGCTGGTATAAACTTGTCTGACAAGGAAAATAACAGAAAGAAAAGAACAAAGGAAAAGAACAAAGAGAAGAACAAAAGAAAAGAACAAAGAGAAGAACAACAGAGAAGAACAAAAGAGAAGAACAAAAGAAAAGAACACAAGGACATCAGCCCATCTTTTCTTCCTTCCTCTTCCCCCTCTTTTATCTCTCTCTCTCTCTCTCTATCTCTCTTTCTCATTTTTCTTTGAGGGTTGGCTGGGGTGGGGCACGTGGATGAAATGTGAGGGAGTGAATGATTTTCGTCTGTGTGTGTGTGTTGAGGAGGGGGTAGGGGTCGTTTCAGGGGCTAGGCATTTATAACAGAAACTACGCGTAGCCAAGTGTGTTCCCGTCGTGTGGAGAGATAGAGAGAGAGAGAGAGAGAGAGAGAGAGAGGGGTGTATACACAAGTCGCATCAGGTGGATGAAATACAAGGGGGGGGGGGGACAGAGAGTTTTGTGTTGGGAGGGGGGGGGGCGGGGGTCATGTCACCCCAACATGACTTGTTTTGTGATTTTACATGGTTTCACAACGATTTCAGGTATTTAAATAGCACACCAAAGTAATATCGAATAAGGCCCACTTCCCCCCCATTCCGTTTAGGGTACGCATTGTTCCCTCCTTTTGAACCCCCCCCCCCCTAAGGTCCGGTGTGTAAAGTCAATACGGGCCGGAATTTTGTGTACTACGAGCCGGACTTTGGTGCGTGAAAAGTACCCCTTTACCGGACATTTTGGGTACACTCATGGTATCCCTCCGTTCACGGAGTGGGGGGGGGGGGGGAATGAGGAAAGTCATGTATCTAAATGTTGCCCCTTTGTCTTGTTTCTGATACTAGTCTTGGATAGCTTGACATAACAATGCCTTAAACTTTTGGCGATCTCAAATTTAATAAGTCACACCATCACTCAAAATGAAAATGATAAGAATCGATTGCGATATAATGTATGGAAGTTTTATTTATTTACAGTTCCGTATATCATTCTTCTATAAGCTAATTTCAAATACTCTGTACAATCATAATCTCGCTCAGTTGTTGTTGTTGTTGTTGTCGACAAATATTGGAGGATCTTTTTACATCCTTGTCTTTAGCTCATTTTCCTTTCTTCTTTTTTCTGTGCGAAACCTTTTGGCAAACTGTTTTCTTCCCATTCAAAATCCATTACCGATGCCACTGTCGAAAACATGTGAATATAAATGTTGAATGGATGTAGTACGTTGAAAAAATTATTATATCAAAATACTTTTATGATGATGTATGATCATGGATGATCTTTAAATTCATTGGTATTTCTTTGCGACATCAACATATACAGCTGATTTTCAGGCCAACAAAATGAATCGCATCTCATTTTTGAAGTAGGGCATTTTTAGATTTGTGTGACATACAACAGCATAACCACCGTAATTGAGCTAAATATACACTGCATGCTACAATCTACTAGAAAACGACACGCTATCTATTCGATTGAAGAAAACAAAAATAATGCTAATTTAGTACACTCAGTAATACACGCGTGTATGGACAAAACGGGATCAGAGTCATAAATACAAAGGCCCGAATTCACAAAGAAGGTTTGTCGACAAATTTAGGTTTATGTGCGTCATTATGACGGTTTCGGCGCGTTTTTGCAAACCTTGGTCTGTAAAAACGCGTCGAAAGGCGTCATAATTATGACGCACATAAACCTAGGTTTATCGACAAATCTCCTTTGTGAATTCGGGCCATCGAGTTTGGCCAACTCGACTTTAATAGTCACAGTATGTCGTATATTAATTTGTTTTGTGCTTGCCCAACAAAGCAGTAGAGCGCTCGCTGTAATAATCTCCTTGGCCAAACTTTCCTAATGGTCTTCTGAAACTTTCTTAATAAATAATTCTTGGTATTGTGTTATCAGTTAAAATTTGTTTTAATGTCATCATTTATTATTATTATATTGTAGACACATTAAAAAAACTGGTTATAATTGGCATATTTTATATTGCTGAAATGTAATTGAATTTAAACGTTGCAGAAGAAAATAAATTTAGTTCAATTCCATTTACAAAATAAATGCCAATGGCTCTGCACAGGTTTAGTGTAAAACGCCATCTGCGGTGAAGAGCCACTGAATTTTTGTTCTTCAAGACTCTTTTGCATTGATGTAATATCCCCTTCCAATGTAGCGTTAATGTTTTAATTATACATGACTTGTGATTAGCAAATTTTCATTCAAAGTTATGTGCGTTAGATTTTGTACACAAACTGGGTTTTAAAAAATCCATTATTCTCGTAATTACGAGAATAATCTTTGTCTTGCTCATTATCATACACGATCACAACTGTTTTAAAAATACATGTATCAACTCAAGAGCAATTTCAAAACATCGTGTACGTCCTATTAAATCATGGGATTACGTCATTGGATATTCAAGAGGAGGCGCGAATGGCTATTGAAATTGCCTTAGGATTATTTTTTCGAAAGTATTTGCAACCGTGTTACCTTTTAAAGAGAAGGTTGAGTTCCGGGGGGAAAATAATCTGTGAGCTTTTTCATTGTTATTATGCAATAAACATTGTGGAAGAACATCAGAGAAAAAAATGTTCCCTGAAAAGCATGGCTCTTAAAATGCCTTCATATTGTGGGCCTCATTTCTATGCCACATGTTTGTATAGTCCCATATCCACCTTTCTGTGTACAGTGCTTGTTACTTTACCAAGACTGGGCCAAATTTCTTATCATTTTGATGATTCCAGAACCTTGAAGTACACACTAATATTTACATATATATGCTACATGATCAACTATTTCTGATCGATTCCACACCGTTTCTTTCACAATGCAATCGCATGACCAGAACTTAACTTTATCTTTAAACCCATTTATAAATCTTATTGGTACACTCGCTGTAATTCTCGTAAGGATTGGTCTCGTTTCGTCCGCCACTCTGAAAGATATAGAGTTCGCCATCGCGCTCAAAGGTTGTGAAGGACAAGACGTTGAATCCATCGACGGTCGTGTAGTCCACCCACATCGTATCAACCAGACGGAAGACTCGACACGCCACGGCCCAGTGATCGTCCTCCGTCGTAGAAAAGAATTTGCGTGCATTCTCACTCAACATGAACTTCTCACCGCCTCTCTGAAATTCAAGTGAGAGTGATCGAAGAATTATTTTGTTGTAGTATATACATGTACAAGAAATAGAACAATGAAAATTGTGCATATTGAGACAAAATTAAAATACATATAGAATAAAATTATTTTACAAAATCACATGTGTATTAGACCTACTAAGAATAGTGGATGCCGCGGTTTCATTTCTAAAGGATAAAATTACTAGGCGTACCAAGAAACTTGAGAAAGATTAAGCGATTTTTAATGCTTAAACAGTGGTTACAAAAACAATATCAGACATTTATATTTAAAAAGGTGCAATATGCATGAATATGACTGTGTGCCCCCGCCCAAGAGCGATAATCCGCTTTTTTGGGGGGTGGGGGGGGGGGGGGGGTTGGGCGGGGTTGTTTAATTGTTGCTTGTCAGAGTCTTAATTGGGAGGGGTGTTCCTTTTTTATTTTCGAAGAAATGGGAAAACCCACCTCGAATACATGAACCCCTATCGGGCAGCTGTCGACGAATGCAATAGTCTGGTGATCCTCAAATTCTTTCAAGCCGGCGTTCCATACATAGACCTCCGTGTTCTGGTCGCAGCTAGTGCCGTCATGATGGCGAGTCGCTACGAGGTAGTGCGATCCATCGTGCGAGTAGTAATGAAGATTCATGGGACCGGGGGCTGGCGAATCGGAGAAGACTTGGGTCTGGCTCCACGATGGCTCTGAAATGATGGAAATAGTATTCTGACATTAAAGATAAAGTTGAGTTCTGGAGGGCGTTTCACAAAACTTGTCATCAGTGACATTAATGACAGTTTTTGTTATGAGCTACTAAAATCCTTGCTTCTGATTGGTTAATCAGCAGATTGGTCAATGATTTTTGTCATTGAAAAAAGGCTTTGTGAGACGGGTCCCTGGTCATGCGATTGCATTGTAAAAGAAAAGACGTGGAATGGATCAGAAAAAGTTGATCATGTAGCATGTAAGTATTGGTGTGCACCGCAAGGTTCTGGAGTCATCAACATCATAATAAATTTGGCCCAGTCTTGGTAAAGTAACAAGCACTGTAGACAGAAAGATGTATATGGGACTACACTGTGTCGGGCCTACTTACCTTGATTTCCTTATCTTTCTATGCTTATTACTCAGCCAATATACATTTCTACCAACATTGTTTGGCAAATGACATTTATTTCTAATCTTAAACATTCAGTGTAAGTTTCGTTTGATTCTGTGAGAATTCATTTTCTTATTTTTTTTATATTTTTTTTACCAGAACTCAAGTTTGGCGTCAGGGGTGCCTTGGAGGGGTAAAGTCAACTGATGTGACCCCGGATGTGACCCTCGAGGACTCTCACACTCGGGTCCCCCTTTATATGATAACTGATTGGGGATGCACAGGTAAACCACTACATCGGCCCCCTTCTAACAGTTACTTTATTGGTATTATTGACCTAATCGAATTATATGCGTAGTGATTATAAACATAAGAAAAGTATTGAAGTATACTTTTCCGTTTCCTCTAAGCTTTCTGATGTTGTTTGCGATCTTGAAAATATTTCCTCAAAATTCATGAACATAATAAAAGAAAGAAAGAAAGAAGAGGAAAAAGAAGAAGAAGAAGAATAAGACGAAGAAGAAGAAGAAAAAATAAGAAGAAGAAGAAGACGAAGAAGAAGAAAAGGAAGAAGAAGCAGCAGAAGAAGGAGAAAAATAACCTTTTAAACTTTGACAAGGTTTGCCCGTCCAAAACGGTCAAACCAATGTCTATAGCATATAACCGGGGTGGATCTAAAATAACATTGGCCAAGGGTCCAAGGTTCACCCCCACCCCCGATATTAACTGTTAATGAGAACAAGAGTTGGAGGATCACATTGACCCTCTCCCGGCGGCGAATTTGCGATTCCCAAACCATTCAGCTTTGGGAGACTTTATGAGTAACGTGATTGGTCGAGAGAAGAAATAAATATTACTTCTTTTACTGCACGCTCGGGCTCGCTCACAGCTGACACAGACACGCAAACACTCACAATGTTAGTCTGCAAGCACAGACTTTAATTTGACACTTTACGAAAGATATCATGTCTGAGGGAAGTCTATCTACATGAAATGGCCTATTGTAGTCTCACGATTCAGACTCTGTATTTTGCACAGTTATGTGCCTGCAAACTACTCACATGCCTTAGAATTCTGCTACTGAAGGTGTGTATCAGTAACACATAGAGAGAGATAGGTCAGTGAGATGGGTCGAGATTAATTAATTTAATTTTGGAAACTTTCTCTAGTTTTACCATTTTAATCTGTTTGAGGATTTCTGAACTGGAAATTTTGTAATGCCTAATCCTTTTATCAAACTCTGATTATTAGAACAACTGCTGGGCCTCTCTGCAACCCCTTTTTCCCCTCAGACTCAAGCTCTCATTTATACAAAGACATCTAGACTAGTAAAGTTAGACTCGCCCCCCCCCCCTCTTCCCCCAATAAATAATGTTCCATTTTTTATTTTTTATCATAGGTCTATAGATCTAGGGTCTAGATCTAAAAAAATAAAAAAATAAAAAAATCATCCAATCGATATCTATATTTCATTAGAACATACTTGTATCTAACTCAAAAGATCTATCATCTACATCTACATGTAACTTGTGTTATTGTCTATGTTCAAACAATGCATGGCTAGGCTCAACAAAACACTCAGGACTGCACATACGCTATATGTTGTTAGGTACAATGCACTTCACACGCGAGCTAGCTACAGGCACACACAGGCCCACTGTTATCCATTGTTTATGTGCAAGCCCATTCATGCAAACATCATTCCAAAAGTCATAGACACGGATCTGATCATGGCGACTTTATAATAAAATAATTAAATACAGGGTCTAAATATCTACTTAGATCATAGAGATATAAGTATATATCTCTATGACTTAGATCTACATGCAGATTTGGAAAATCATTTTGAAGATTTGATGGTTCACTCTGACTTGGCCCCAGACACATTCGCACCGCCATGATGAGATGGCTCGCGTCGATGTGGGCGTGTCTTTATAACTTTTTTAACCAATCACGTTGCTCAAAATGTTTCCCATAGCTGAATGGTTTGGGAATCGCAAATTCGCCTCCCGGCGGGGTGGTGTTGGATTAAATATGAGCTACTATTATTTTGTTTCTAGCCCTTTAAACGCTTGCTTTGTTGCATTTGTTTTCAAGGCGGGAGATTTCTGCCCTGGGTTCCTATTAAAGTCAAACCTGCGTTATATTCAGTGCCCCCTGTCTACAAAGACCAATTTTCGTGTTTCCCTTGGGCGGTCGCTATAGACAGGTTTGACTGTTTATATGCCTAGAACCCCATCCATTGCTTTCACCTGTCATATAGATGCTATTTCGCCATGAAGCCCCGCAGTATTCTGAACTATCCCCCGCGCACTGCTGATTGCAGTCGCTGGCGCTGCCGTGCTCGTCATAGTTCTCGTCGCCGCAGAAACATTGTGATTGCGCCTGGAGTCCAGCGTAGGGGTAGCCACGATCTCGACAGAACGCGATGCACATCGTGACCGTCATCGAGTCCGAAGAAAAATTTTCACCGTCCAAAGCTCGGTTGGTTCCATCGATGTAACAACCGCGGTAGAGATCTGTAATTAAACACAAGATAATAAATACCGATAAATAAACTAGACAGACCATTAATCAAAATGAAATATCGGTCTTATATTTTAACAATGTTAAATCTGAGATACACGGCCCTACGTGTTATCAGTGTCTTTGACATGGTGTAATATTGAAGCCCTAAAAAAATTGCGCTCCAAAATGATCAAGAAGTGCCTCAAAAAAGTAAAAATCTTTGAGTGACCGGTTTTACCACACTTTAAAAAAGAATTTGTTCATTGGTAATTTTTACGTATTTTCTCCATGTAGAATTTACTTGAAAACATTAGTTTTGCCACTTACGCACTAAATTTAAGTCTTGCTAACTCAAACTTTTAATGTAGTAGAACATACGTGGAATATTTAAGTAAAATCAAATACATAAGAACTTTAACCAATTTCAGCTTGTATTAATTTAGTAATTTTAACTCAAAATCAGAAGTTATACGTATTACTCAAACAATTTATGTTGATTATTCTTATCTTTTTAAAGTAAGGACCGATGCAGTGCGTAATAGAAATATTTACATAATTTATGAATATTCATTAAAGGTAAAGACCAGTTATGGTCATGCGAATGCATTGTGAAAGAAACGTTGTGGAATCGATCAGAAAAGGTTGATCATCTAGCATCTAGCATCTGCAAGGTTCTGGAATCATCAAAATGATAAGAAATTTGGCCCATTCTTCGTAAAGTTACAAGCACTATACACAGAAAGATGTATATGGGACTACCCTATATCTCTCACAGACCATGAGAGAAACAAATTTACCAAATATATGAATTAGTAGGCGGTTTCCCGGCAATTTTTTTTATCAGCATGTATTAGTCAAAACATATTCTTTCACATGATTGGTAATGAGAGCTTCCATTTCATTTTTTGAAATTGGGGCGTTTCCAATACTGGTCTTTACCTTTAAGACCAAATTAAACTCTTTTTTTAAATAAAACAATTCTTTTTTGTGGTTGAATGAAAATTTAAGGACTTTAAAACATTTACTAATTCATTTAACATGGCTAAGCAAAGACAAGACAATTTTTAATTGTTACCCAGTTAAAAACAAATCAAAACTTGATATTTCAGGAAATTGTCAACCAATTTTCCTTTTAAGATGCTACGATCAAGTATATATAAAATTTGGAGCCTTTCAATTATGTGTCGAATTGAAGCGTATGTAATAGTTTGTGATGGTGGTAGATATATATATATATATATATATATATATATATATATACGGTTAAATCTTAAATAGAAGTAGTGTTAGTGATTAGTGGATGTTACTTGTTAGATTAGATGGGTACCAAATCGTGCAATATGTAATCCTATCATAGCTTTTTTTTAATTATCTAAAATGATTACAATACTTAAATTATTTACGTTAATGTAACTCGATTTAACTGAGTAAAAATTTATTCAGCAAAATAAGTAAATTCTACTTAAGATGCCGTAGGTAATATTTACTTAATAAAAATAAGGCAATTCTTTTCCTCAATTTTATTGAGTTATTTCGACTATTATTTTGTTTACAGTGCATACTCGTTTCCCCCCAATAGACTGTAGTGTTATGAAAACCGTTTGTAATTCCATTCATAAATATCTTGATAATCAGACAGGCGATCGGCTTGTAAAAATCATGGGGTTCCTGACTGACCTAAAGGTTAATAATTATCATTGCAGCATGAGCTAAATCTAGGACTTTGTTTCAGGATCAGAGACAAAGTTACCGGATCCTTCCCATTCGCAGGCCCAAAAAATGAAAAGGTTAAATTCCAACGGCATTTGAAAGATAATACTAATTTAGAACTTCCCTAAAAAAAAAAAGCTTTAAAATGTCATTAAAATGGCATGGTGGCTCAATGGTTAGAGCGTCCGCCTCATGAACGGGAGGTCGTGGGTTCGATCCCCGGCCGAGTCATACCAAAGACTTATTATAACAATGGGACCTTCTGCCTTCTAGCTAGGCGCTCAGCATATTAGATTGGAGAAGGGTAATAGTAACATGTTATGTTATGCAGGGCCCGCTGGGAGAGCAGTTTCATAACTGAAGTGGCTACCCTGGGTAAATAAAACGTTATTATTATTATTATTATTATCATTATTATTTATTAGTGTGAAAATAACGACTATTAGTTGTCGAATCGACTTAAGAGCTATAGAGCCAGTAAGTAATAGTCGGATTTTCAGACCATTGTACCGAATAGTCGTACGTTTTATGCTGCGCAAAGATTCAATCAGTTTAATTTTGGCCATGACAAGAAGTGGGTTATTGATGTCATACCTGATTGATGTAGACAAATGCTCATGTACCCTTTACAGCTCAGAAAAAAGCCAGTCAGTCACTTTATAGTGTCTGACTGTGAAGTCTAGCAAGTAAACGGGTTTCCTTGCATAATTTGAATATTAGGACACTGCTAACGTTTAAATTTCACAGATAGGACATACATGACATATTCATAATTCCTGCAAAGTTCTGCAAAATTTGATGTTGGCTGCAAAAGGGACATAGTATCTTTAAAGCAAGACGTCCAACAACAAAAAATGACAATGACTTCTCGTTTATCTTTTAAAAAAAATGCTTCTTGATAACTCAAAAACCTGTTTGATTGAATTGGGCTTTTCCCCCTCTCATGTACTCATGTTTGCTTGTATTCATGTATTTTCTCAATGTTAACGATGATGAATGCATAGACTTACCATACGAGTCCGAACGTTCCCATACTTCGGCTGCAGTCGTAAAACCCGAACTATCTCGCCAATTCGGTATACCGACATAAACCGTTCCTTCCATCTCGAACATGTCTGGTATGAACACCCCCGTCGTAGCTATGGTCTCCACTTCCACAAAGCGCTCGTAACGGGGGTACCACTGTTAACAAACAAAAAACACAAAACAATCATATAAATCCATAGGGTAGTATTCTCGAAAGCGGACTAACTTTAGTCCATGGTTTAATCCACCGACTAAGTATGGAATGCCAAGTGTCCATATGAATATACTTTTGAATAATTTGATATGTCCCTAAATTACCATGATAACTTCATTATATCATAGTTATATTGTTGTTTATTTAATATGTTATTACATTTTATTTTAATTTAGTGACAGATTAAATTATTCAAAAACATATTCATATGGACACTTGGCATTCCATAGTTAGTCGTTGGATTAAACCATGGACTAAAGTTAGTCCGCTTTCGAGAATACCACCCATAGTGGTTCATTAATTTGACTCTCGCAATGTTAAGGTTAAGAATTCAATCTAAGCCCGGCACTAACGTCCTTTGACAAGATATTAATCCACATTTAATTTTTGTATAAATAATCTGTAGATACATGTATCTATGACTTTTTAACCTGGTATATCCTCTTCATAATTATATTTGGAGTGTAGAAATTGTGCTACGGTATTACTCAACATGTATACTTCTACTGTCAAGTTTATTTTTTGATAATGATATATTTATTTTTGCCAAGTGTGTGCTAAGAACAGGGGCCAGACTCGACTAGCACATGTGCTATTATTTGGCTCCTTTTCATCACCTTCTATATTCTATGAGAAAAGGCATATGTCTAGCATATCAATACTTTGTTAGGTTTTTCTTTAATATGATCTATAATATTCATTTATGAACATGTACCATTCACGATGTATTCAAATGTTTAATCACTGATGTTATTGATGATGAATAAATAAAATAAAATCAAATTTACAACTCTCCACCCAGGTGTATTTGGGTACCTGGAAATCGGCTAGGTTAAAGGTAATACAAAGTTTTGGGAAATTTTGAAAATTGGGTGGACAATGATTCTTTACAATTTTTATATATTTGGATGCCCCTGTGGGTGTATTATAAGCACTAGAAAATTTAGCCCCTGAAACACTTTTGTTTTCGAGTAAAATTGAATATAAAAATTTACCGGTGCTCCCGGTAAATTTTGATAAATTTCAAATGGCGCCTACGGCCGTACGATGGTAGCTGCGACCATGAAATTCTCAGAATAAGTAGTTGTGATATATAATTTCCAAACGGGAATAGCTAATCGGTCGATTTCGGTAAAGAAAAATTGTTTTATAGCTTAATTAATATCTTGACCTTGAGAGGGAGCTATACAACATAAAGAGTTTATTATCTACAATTTCATAACTTTAGACTCGATTTCAACCGCGACAACGATCAATGAGTATTGTAGGATCGCATATGTTTCCAATATGTTCATTTGAACCGAATACATGACCCCATACCAAAACTTTGTATTACCTTTAAGTTGCATGTAATTGTAATCAAAATAATACTAAATATTGATGCTTGCTAATTATAATTCGTGACAAATTACAGGTCGCCCAGGAAGATGCTGATGATGTATTGATATTTTTCGTATGGGAAATTATAACTTTTTGATCTTCTTTGAACTCACGTACTATTGCAGGGGCGGATCCCAGAACCTTTAAAAAGAGGGGGCACAAATTCAATATTTTTTCCGACAAGGAAAAAAAAAAAAGGCTTCTCATCACCTCAAGGGGGAGCACATACTAGGAGTTTGGTATCAAAATGTGCCACGTTTCAAGGGAGGGGTTACAGGATGGACGTGCACCCCTCCCGACATCCGCCCGTTCACTATACTGTCTGCGTCTTATTTCCTGCGTCTTATTTTTTTCGTACCACAGCGAGCCCAGATTGAGCTCACGAAGGAAACCTGCGCGTGCGCACATGGAAACCGGTAATGTTGTTAATAGGATTGAAATAATTAGGCAAACTCACATTTCAGCAACCCATCGTTAGCTCAATCGGTATAGATAGCGTAATAAATCGTTGGATATGAGGGTTCGAGTCTCTTAGTATTTTTTTTCCTTTATAAATAGTGAGGCAAAGCAATAAATAATCAAAGACTAATTGTTTGTGACTTCTTTGCAAGCTTTCGTAGCTTGTTATGTATGTAAATGAGTTCATACTGGAATCTGGGCTCGCTGTGGTACTAAAAAATAACATAGGCCCGAATTCACAAAGGAGGTTCGTCGACATATTCGTGCGTCATTATGACGCGTTTTGACGCGTTTTTACCACGTTTGTAAAAAACGCGTCATAACGCGTCATAAATTATGACGTAGATAAACCTAGGTTTGTCGACAAACCTCCTTTGTGAATTCGGGCTATACTGTCTATGAAATTCACCTTGAAGACCGGGGATTCTTGGCTGTACGTGGATGGCGCATAATAGAAAGCCAGGAAAAGATAGAACCCACCATCTGAGGACCTGACGCTAGCTGGTGCTAAACATCCTTTGGTAGCAATGGTCTGATGGACAGTGAATGAATCTGAACGGGGGGGGGGGGGGGGGGGGGGAAGAAAAAGATTTCATAAAATATTCCAGAAAGAAGCATCAGTCATTATTTTGTCAGATCGTGGGATATTGCTAGTATTTTTTTGATAAATGTTGAAATAAAAATATCGTACGGGAGATATTTCACAGAATCAACAAAAACAAAACAACAACATAACAAACACACACACACACACAAACACACACACAAAAAAAGACAAAAACAAGGAAAGAAAGAAAGAAAGAAAGAAAGGAAGGAAGAAAGAACGGAACATATCGAGGAAGAAGAAGAAAAGAAATAAAAATAAAAACAAAACACCAGGACACAATACTTACCGGAACTATTATCGTAGACCCACAAAAAGGAATCGGTGTCTTGTGTCCCGCCCCATGCCTTGTAGTTACATAAGAACAAGTACTGTTTCCCAGTGAGCTGAAAATCAGCCATGAAGTAACCCATCCCTAACCCAGCTAGAGTCTGCATCGGTTCATACTGTTCCGTGGTGTAATCATAACGAAGAATTACTTGATCAGCCTGGGCGGAATTTCCCGAAGGATCCATTGTGTTTCTGTAAGATCAAGATTGTCAAATAAACTGCATGAGTCATTTGTGCCTGGGAGGGACAAAATGAGATGTAGGCCCGGGGGGGGGGGGGGGGGCGTTTCGCAAAACTTGTCATCAGTGACAAATTACAATTTGTGTTATAAGCTACTGAAATCCTTGCTTCTGATTGGTTATCAACAGATTTGTCACTGATTTTTGTGTTTTTTTGTCATTGAAAAAAAACTTTGTGAAACGCCCCCCCTCCCCCAGGTCTCTCCTCCCAGCATTACTTTCATCAATGATTGCGGTGCGCTGGTGTAGCACTTCGTTGCACTCCATCACACTACCTTGTCCAGAAACTGGCCGGTTCTTATACTTAATCTCTATAATACTCCCTACACATGCTGTAAGCCGCCGAAGATGGCGTTATAAAAATAAAATTGAACTCGTACGCCTAGCCTAAGATTTTTTTTTCTTCCACGGGCGTAGAAGTGCAGGGATCACGTCATCTTCGGTTTTCAGGATGTAGGGGGAGATCGCGTTTCAGGGGCGGATCTAGGGGAGGGGGGTTTCGGCTGTTTAACCCCCCCCCCCCCCCCTTGAGCGGCCAAGTGAAAAAAAAAAACTATAAAAAAAAGGGGGGAAAAGAAGAAAAAAGGAAAAAAAAAAAAAGAAAAGGAAAACAGTAAAATGGCGCGATTTTTGGAAAATCCTCAGGATCCGCCACTGGGTCCACCCCCCCCTCCTTGGCAAAAAAACTTGATCCGCCCCTGCGTTTATAGAAATTATTAAAACTCGAATCTGACAGATTGTGGACTACACACTATTAATTATTGGACAGTGCAGTAGTTTCTTTACGCAAGTAGGTTCGCCAACCACGATATATTTTGCATTTCTTTGCTCAAATTTGCTAATTTTGTAAATCCTGAATACAATTTTCATCGAAAATGCAGAGTCCACCGACCTCTTCCCCAAATTGTATACCAGGGACCCGTTTCACAAAGCCTTTTTTCAATGACAAATGACAAAAGTCAGTGACAAATCTGCTGATAACCAATCAGAAGCAAGGATGTCAGTAGCTTATAACAAAAACTGTCATTTGTCACTGATGACAAGTTTTGTGAAACGCTCCCCTGTATCTGTAAAACGAAAGCCAGAGTCGGTTTGGGGTTTGTTTCGCTTTAGAGTCGGTTAGGGGTACGTTCGGAGACGGTTTGGGTTGGTTTGGAATCGTTTTAGAGTCGGTTTTGGGTAGGTATAGAGTCGGTTCGGAGTCGGTTTGGCGGTGTGACTGAGGTATAACCCTATGCAGTTAATTAGCGGATATGCCAGCCATAATGGCCTAGAAAATAAAAAAAATGCTACAATAAATCTTTACAAAGGTTAATGATAACATGTCTACTTGCTACATTATATTTGAATATGTTGAGCCTAAAGATATGGTCACAAAGGTTCGTACGAACGCATCGTTCGTACGAATCTCCCTGCTTTTTCATTGTCTTCCCGAATTTCCATTGTCTGAAAATCGTTCGGATGGCGTTCGTAGCAGTTCATAATGGCATTTGTGACCGAGGCTTTAGACTAAATGAACACTGTCTTGTGAGAAGAAAACTTACAGAGATGAAATTGCCAGGAAATGCATGTTGTTGAAAGTGAATCCGACGCCATCTCTCCCTCGATCAGAAATGATTTCTTCTACCAAACGAGGCTCGTTTATGTAAGCTTTGAGACAAATATGAACAAAAAACACAGTATTTTCCAAAAAGATAGTTTTGATTTTCAAATAGATAGATTGTTCCTTCTCTTTTTCTCTCTCCCATCTGTTTTTTTAAACATCTTTCCCCCCTCTCACATTCCCATTTCCTATGGTCTCTCTGTCAATCTCTCCTCTTATCCTCTCTCACATAAATATTTTATTATCACTCTATCATTCTCTCTCACTCTCTTTCACTTTCTCTCACTTTCTCTCACTAACTCACTCTCTATTTATATCTCCCCTTTCTCCCTCTCCTCTCTCTTTAAATGTTTCTTCTTCTCTCTCTCTCTCTCTCTCTCTCCCCTCTCTCTCTCTCCCTCTGTCTCTCCTCCCTTACCCGTTTGGCAGAACTCTTCTCTGTACCCCTCTGTGCACTCGCAATAGTAGCCCCTCTCGGAGCAATCCATCCTACAGGCTGCCCCGTTCTCACACCGGTGGTGCTTACATGATCCCATGTAGTGCTAAATCCAACCCCAAATATAAAAATAGTGAGTAAGAAATAACAACAAATGATTAGACAATAGAAAATAAAGAAGAAGATATAAATACAAATGGTAAAACATAGCCTAGCCCAGGCGCGTACGCAGGATTTTTTCAAGGGGGGGGGGGGTTTAACATTTATAAATCAGGCCGAAAATTTCGCAACGACTCAGCCAGCCGCTGAATATTTTTTTTCCGAAGGGGGGGGGGGGTTTACACACAGAAAATTACCAAAGGGGGGGGGGGGGTTAACCCCCCCCCCCCTGTGTACGCGCCTGCTACAGCCCTACACTTTCAAAATTACAGCAAGGAAGTATTTAGGATAACAAGAAAGCACTCTGAAAAGTAAGATGATTTTACAAAGGACAACAACAAGAAAATACAGCGAAAAGGGTAAAAAGCTGAACGAGAACTAGTACTACAATTAAAAAATCAAACAAAGGCAATATTGGCATGAAGAAGAAGGGGGGTTGGCACGAAAAACGCTGAATGTAGATTGTAGAAGAGAACGACATTATAATTTTACATTTGTATAATAAAGCGCTCCACTAAAAAGAAATGGTTGAAGCACGGAGGGATTTATGGGGGTGGATGGGGGAGGAGGGGGGGGGGGGGGGGGTGGGAGGGGGATGACCTACCGGTTTCGAGGTTTTCGTATCCACCGTGTCGTAGTAGATGTAATCTGATGACGTCACCAAGAACCCGGGTCCTGTCTCTCTGTCGTAGTCGTAAAGCTGACAGGACTCGAGCCGCTTAGAGTATCCATAGCTCATGCAGCCGTGATCGTCTCGGCATCGTCTCGAGCAGTCGAAGACGGTGACGTTGACCTCCTCGCTGTATGGGATCTCCATGGCCGTGTCGGCGATGGCGTAAAAATGCGCCGACTTGCCGCTTTTCTTGGGGCACTCGATGCGCTGAAGCTGCCCCCATGAGACGGGGAGGAGGAGAGCCAGGAGGCAGAGGAGGAGGGCGCCGCGAAGAGGCATGCTCGTGAGATTTCTATAGGGTTTCGTTGACAATAAGACAATTGGATGGTGATGATAAGAAAGATCATGTTGATGACGACGATGAGATGGTGATGGCAACGATAACGACGATGATGGGGTTAAACAAAATGTTTGTGATGGTGCATGATGATTGTAATGAGGATGGTAAACTGAGACAGAATGAGAGAGAGAGAGAGAGAGAGAGAGAGAGATAGAGAGAGCGAGAGAGAGGGGGTGGAGAAATAGAGGTTGATGTCCATTCAAAGCAGATTGTAATTTAATTCAGAAATCGATGTTTCGAGGATGATGGGTGTGTGATTACCTATTCAAATGTAATGATTATAAAGCCGCTGAAATCAGTGTAGACGATAAGTGAATTGTAATTCTCTAGATTTGGAGTATTAATCACATAAAGTAGGATAACATTCTTATGATTGTACAATAACCTTTTAACATAAGAAAAACAAATCTTTGCCGAATGGTACCGATCTGTTTCACGAATAATTATGCAAACATTTGACAAATATGATATAATATCTGTTTGTTTTGTTAAAGGTAATACAAAGTTTTGAGAAATTTTGAAAAATTGGGTGAATAGTGATTCTTTACAATTTTGATATTTTGGATGCCCCTGTGGATGTATTATAAGGACTCGAAAATTTAGCTCCTAAAACACTTCTGCTTTTGAGAAAAATTGAATATAAAAATTTACCGGTGCTCCCGGTAAATTTTAAATAGCGCCTACGGCCGTACAATGGTAGCTTCGACCATGAGAATCTCAAAATATGTAGTTGGGATATATAATTTCCAAACGGGAAAAGCTAATCGGTCGATTTTAGTCGAGAAACATTGTTTTATAGCTTAATTAATATCTTGACCTTGAGAGGGAGCTATACAACATAAAGAGTTTATTATTTACAATATCATAACTTTAGACTAGATTTCAACCACGACAGCGATCACTGAATATTGTAGGATCGCATATGCTTCCAATATGTTCATTTGAATCAAATTCATGGCCCTATACCAAAACTTTGTATTACCTTTAAGTTGCATGTAATTGTAATCAAAATAATACTAAATATTGATGATTGCTAATTATAATTCATGACAAAACTAGAATGGATAATGTGCACAAGAAATCTTAAACAAGTGTAAGTCAGGCTACCTTAACACCGTACTTGATGTAAGAACTCACCTTTTAGAAGACGTCTTGCGATTCGGATTAAAAATATAAAATATCAAGAATCAACGTGGGAGGTCATCCACGGCCCAAGATGGAATATTATCATCCAGATCCAGAATAAAAATCTACTTTAAAGCAGATCAGGAGTTGAGGCTATTTTCCATCATGGCCTCCTGCACGCTCACGTCACAAGTTTGTTTGATGTTTGGTATACATACTCGTAGAAATGTAGTACGCATTCGTGGTATTGATTTCATTTGGTTGTGCTATTCTAAAGACTCAAAAGTTGCATCAGTCTAGAGCCCTTCTTATCGACTTTCCTTTTCTCTCATTATTGATTAAGATGATTTGTGGGCCGAACACAGTGCTCCACTCTCACTTGGTATTGGTATAAAGGGAATGAACGGGGAGGGTGTCTATTTAGGGAGGGGCAGGCGAAGGTGAGAAAGTTGACATCGAAAATCGATGAAAATTCTACCTTTAGTTGTATAAAATAATATTGATCTTCCCTCGGAAATGGATCTGGAAAACTCCCTCTGTTGTCGAATATCTTCGCAAGTTCGCATTTGCACCAGTTTTTTTTCTTCATTAATATTGTTATCATTTAAGCCATGTGTCATTTGTCACTTTTTTTTCTTCACTCCACGGTGTTAAATTTTAAGTTCTCCCTTTCCTTCCCGCCCTTTATTAACCTCAGTCACGTGTTCTTCTTCCCTCTTTATAACACTATTTTGTTGTTGTTATTCTCTCTCTCTCTGTCTCCTCTTCTTTCTCTGTAACTTACATCTCACGACAGCAACTCCTTGTCCACTATACCGGACTTATCCCCCATCCTCTCTATCCCCCTCTCTCTTTTCATTTCCTCCTTCTCTCTCTCTCTCTCTCTTCTCCCTCTCTTTCTCACACTCTTCTAAGAAATTATGCTTATAGCAAAGTGATTCTAAATATATGCAACACTGCTAATATAAGGGTAATCTTGTGTATCTCTATAGTAACGAGAACGCACTGGAATTAATGATACGATGTACCGTCATTTAATGAGACACTCTCCGTTTACCCCGCTTAATGAGATGGAGAAAATAATGCAACATCTTATATGCAGGATAATTATCCCTAATGCAACCTCAATTATCATTACAGCGTATTTACGCCGACTCTCTTAAGCCTCACCTATTGCTAATGATTTTAGTCATCAATCCATCGTTTTAATTAATTTAATTTTCTTAAGTCGGGGGTTTCGTCCTTTGTTTCTTTGATTGCATACAGTGGCGGATACAGAATAATGAAAATATGGGGCGCCCCTAAATTCTTGTTTTACAAAATAGAGTTCTAAGACACATACTCCGGCAATATAATAATTATATTTGCTTACATAGCGCCTAACACTTACTTTATCAGAAGTCTCTAAAAGCGCTTTACAATAATGCAGCATAACCCTGGCTTTAGCAGTGCAGCTGTCACGCGCTGCGTTTCAAGGAATAATTTCCTACCATTCCTACCAGGTCCCCATTTACTTCACCTGGGTGGAGTGTGGCAAATGTAGATCAATGTCTTGCCAAAGGACATTAGTGTCGCGGCGGGACTCGAACCGCGGATCTTGCGATCGACAGTCCGGCGACGTATCCACTCGACCACGACACCTCTACGATATCACAGTACATGTAGCTTGGTGGTGAATTCCTACAATAATCGAATATCTAACTTGACCCGGAACCAAACATATATCTAATTCCAATCCCTAACCTAACGCAAAATGACAACCCAACATATACGGACACCCCAGTCAACATGCCGAACCGACTTCAACTCTAAAGCGACGTCAATGGTAAAAAAGACCATCCGGTGTAATATAATGTCACTTTAGTTTAGTCTGTTCAGTGTTGTCTGTCTCGTTGTTGTGCTTGGAGTCTAATGTAAAGGTCGGGTCACCTTTACTGTACGGGTACGCTGCATTGGATTTGCAGAAATATCGGGAGAGGTGCATGATTTGTGTAGGAGAAAGCAAGGGCCAAGGCAAGTTTAATAGCGCTTAGAGACTTCGGTGGTAAGCGCTTTATAAGCACCGTTTTTATTGATTATAATTAAGTTGGGACTTGTAGATTATTCGTCACAAGGATAAATTATATGCTATGTTTGAAGATGCATCTGACGGGTATCTATATCTAGTTCAAATTACATGATGACAATCATGCCGTCAGTATAAAATTATCAGAGACGAAATAAACACGCAGTGTCAATCATTCGTGTATATAAGAGGTAGCATACTTTTATACGTCCATTGGTATCTGAGCTGAAAAAAAAAAGAATAGAAAATTGCATAGTCATAAAAAATGAGTCGCATCACCCAAAACCAAAACCAAACAAAAAAGGACTGATAAACCTTCGACATAATGTGACCACTATAGCACCAAATATCGAGTATGACAGAGTGAGAGAAAAGAATTACATGATTATTTGCAAAGCACATGAAAAAAGATGAAAAAGTTATAAAAGGTATGCGTACTTTTATACGTCCATAGGTATCTGAGCTGACAAAAAAATATAGAAAGTTGCATAGTCATACAAAAAAGATTAGCATCACCCAAAACCCAAACAAAACAAAACAAGACAGATAAACCTTCGACATGATGTAACCACTATAGCACCAAATAGTGAGTATGATAGAGTGAGAGAAAAAAAATCAAGTGATTATTTGCAAGGCACATGGACATCTCAAAGACAGCATAGTTCAAATAATCGTAGATGTATTCGATAACAGAATACATGTATGATAATCTACAGTTGTTTCCTTCCAACCAGGTTTTTTTGTAATAATAGTAGAATTATGAATATTGTTATGGTATTCAGTCTAACCCGTCTGATATTACAAAAGCTATTCAGAGCCCTGCATTTGACAGAGTTGCGATAGATTCAAATCAATCGCAACCTGAAATTAATCGCAACTGTGTACTTAAGAGATAGGTGTTGCGATCAATTCCGTGTTGCCATTGATTCGAAACAATCGCAACTCTTTATAGGACGGGGCCATCATTATACAACATCGTTCCTCACTTATCAGTACTTATATCTAAAAACCTAAGTACGTTCCTGAACTCCGAGATGATAAACTACCGCAAGGTTTAGAATGAATTCAGTGAGGTAGCTTCAAGATGCATCTATACCCTGTTTAATGACTGCCATAATGAGTACGAAATATCTACGCCCAGTCGTCAATTTTAGCCAGTAGCTAATTTACAAAAATACAGAGAGAGAGAGAGAAAGGGTGAATTCGAGAGTGAGAGTTAGAGAGATGGAGAGAGATAGAGAGAGAGAGAGAGAGAGAGAGAGAGACACACACACACACACACACCACGATACTTTAAAACAGCGCTCGCCATCATCTTTAGATTCAGCCGAGCACGCAGGTTCGAAACTGAGTCACGTCTTTCGGATGGTGAAGTTTAAAGGTCGGCCCCCAGACGTAAATAATCATATCTGATTAATACACTTCTGTAAAAACACAATTACAAACACACACACACACACACACACACACACACACACACACACACACACATCTTTAATAGGTCCCCATTTCTCTACTAGTCATCAAGTGAGGAATGTAGTTATTACAGTGTTATGTCGAAAGACATTAGTGCCGGGCCGGGGCTTGAACACCAGGCTTCGCAACCTCAGTCAAGACAGTGTCGAAACCATTCCACTGAGACACATCCAAAAATTCAACCAATAGAGAAAGAAGATCCTTACTCCTTTCAATACAATCTGTTTCAACACCACATCTCTATGGGCCTGCGTTAGACAGAACGCAATGCTGTTGTTTACCAGGCGTCATTTTCCTGACGCAGGACTCCGTCAGGTACTGTCAAGCGGAGTCTTTGTCGCCCGCCCGTGTGAGTATCATATATAAAAATATGAATATTTCATGAAAAGTGCAGACACTGCGTTGATATTAATGGCGCATGTAGTAGTCTAGATTAGCGCAGGTAATATCGTAATCGCCATGACGCTTCGTAAGTAAAGGGCTCAACAGCAGAACTACAAGGGTTAGAGAAAAGGTTGTTTCGTCTCTTGTTGCTCTAGGTTCTGCATTTCACTCTTCTCTTCATCACGATTTCCTTGGAGCTCGACCACCTTATCTTCTCCATGATCACTTCCGACGTCATCTCCGACCTCGCTCTCCGTTTCGGGTCGGAAATGTCTGAAGAAAAGAAAAACAAAAAAAGGAAGAGAAAAGCTGAACATTTGAATTGAGACGAATGGAATCATGATGATTTCAAATGATATTAATAATAGTAATAATAATATTCTTTTAAAGTCCATTCCAAATTTTAATAAGTTAAACATAAATGGAACTTCTTTTTGCCCGATTGATCGTGAGCCCGGCAGCCACTGAGCAGCGCCAGATCGACGTTGCTCTATCCCTTATTGTTGAACGCCAAACAAGGTAGCAGCAATGATATTAGTATGACCATCTGGGACCTTAACTGGACGTGATTTGCAGTTTTGAAATTTAAAGCGATCGATGCTCCTTAGTTCCGTTCATATTGCTAGAATTCGGCTCTCTGTTCTTTCTAGCCTTTAACTCTGATGAGAACAAGAAGAAAAACTTCTGTATGTCTGTATTTCAAGCCAGGCTACGTTTTTTGAAAGTCCATATTCTACTTCAGTTTCTTTCATAATCGAGTCGCATTTGGCATGTTCGGGTCGTAAGGTCTGCGGTGCGCTAAAGACGATTCAAACATTACACAAATAGCTACCATTTAACTGTACCTGAATATCTTGTAGGCTAACGTCCACGAGCCAAAACTGATGATACTGAACGGTCCAAAGAACATCGGATAGACGATGACTCCAAGGAATAGCTCCGTGTCGTCCTTATACGAGAACGAAATCAGCGTCATCGCTATACCGATCTGCTGGAGGCCCGTCTCGAAGGCGATGGTACGGGACTGCTTGTGCGGTTGTCGGAGAAGTCTGGCGAGGGTGTAGCCGAGTGACCAGCCGATCCACATGTGTAGGAGAGAGGCGACGTAGAGTTTCCACGATGACGCCCAGATGTTGGGGTTGATGAACACGGTGATGATGATGCTGGTGATGATACCGAGCATACCGATGACTCCCAGAGGCTGTAGAGAGAGATGTGAGGACGTTATTTCAGTTTGAATACCGTCCGCATCAAAATTACATTAGGATGAAAAGGCATACATGATTTCGCTTATTATTGGAGATCAAAGTATAACCAGAAATGGAAACTGCAAAAGATGTTAACTAGGAATACGCAAAATATTCATCAGTCGAGGTAACATTTGACTTTATTTTGTCAATTTTCAATTGAGCCTTTCGGATGGTGATGTTAAAGGTCGGTCCGCAAACTTCGGATCTGCTTGGGCTCCCTGTCATAATCATTTGCTATTGAATCAAATTGATCGTAACTTGATATCAATAGTAACTAAAGAGAAGTAAGTTTGCGATTGATTGATGACTTGATGTTGATCCAGATCAATCAAAACTCTAAATTAAAATGGGGGCCCTGATCGAAACATGCCTGTGAATCCAATTACGATAATTCATAATTATGTTCAAACATCGCGCAACAGGGCACCTGACTTAGCATCATTCTAATCAAATCACCTTGCCGACGAAGATGCCCCACTTCTTCGACCTCCATCTCAGCAGCATGCCGAGACCGACGGGGCCAATGAACGCAACGAGTGCGATGATGATGTCCTTGTACGGGATGACAGCTCCTCTATCCGTCCATCGTCGACCGTAGATGAAGAGATTGAGGGGCATCGAGCCCAGCGTGATCACTGTCGAGATCGTTGTCATCACCACGCTTTTATTGGACAAGAATAGAAAAGTTAAGGTACGAGTTAACATGATCGGGGCTATGATGCAAATGTCAGATTTACATATAACAAATACATTAAAACATTGAGTAACAACTTTTTTCAAAAGTCAATTTGGTGATAATTAGAGGAACTTTTGTTGACATGCGTTTGCTGTGATTCAAAATTTGCTACGATTATCAGTTCGGTAGAGACTGGTTTCTAGGTCAGACTTAGGGTTTTGAAGAGTTTAGATGAGTGTCGGATCCAAGGTTTTGACATGCCCCATGATGTTAGAAGCTCAGCACTGGACCAAGTAGCATTTGCCGTACTTTCACGTTTGCCCCACATTTTTAATACCGTAAACACTAGTATTCAAATCGCTTGGAAATGAAACCTTCAAATATCTCACAACGGATTTATGTAAATATATAACCTCTTTCCTTTTCACCTAACATATCAAAATAAGTTTCGAAAGAGAATGAAGGAGCATAAATTCTTGCCATTAACTATACTGTCAAGACGTATGTCACATAGCTCCTAACTAAATCTCAACTTTCGAAGACATCTCTACTATTAACAGAGTCGTCATTGCTTTCCAGAATTCTTGTAGTAGTAAAGACATCCCAATACATGTCAGTCTCACCTCAGACAAACGTCACCATCCGTCCAGTAGGTGAAGAGGTTTGAGGTTGTTCCCCCTGGACTTGAGGCTGCTATGAGTACACCTAGAGCATGAGGCGGTTCCATCCGAAGAACAAGAGCCAGGATGAATCCGATCAAAGGCATCAGAATCACCTGACAGACGAAGCCTATACCTACACCGACTGGTCGGCGAAGCTACAAGTATGTTGCAGAACCAACAAAAAGAGATAAGAGAGAAACATCCTTGAATGAATATTAGGCGGCAAACTTTAACTTATTATAATGATCTGTAGGTCATATTGATTATCTCTTTCAAAATAACTTCTTTTCCCTGCTTGTTGGAAAACAACAAGAGTTTAATCCTTGTCGGCAATTAATTTTAGATGAGGAACTTGTTGCCTGCGGTAAATATTTGGCTAACTTGTTGGTAAATTTGGTCCGACATCGACCATTCAACTTGAACGTTATTATCCCCTCGTTTTGAGGTTATTTCTTTTTGTTCTGTTTTTTAGTTATTTTAAATACTTACGACTATTTTGAAATCTTTGGGTTCGATTGCGGCTCCCATCCCGACCATAGTTAGACCCAGCGTGACCATTAACACGCATTGGTTTGCAAGCTTCAGGGCCTCAATGTCCCTTCCATTCGTCGTGCCATTACCGCTACCATCGTCTAAACCCGTTAGGTTGGCCGTGACACCCTCATCGACAAGGTATTGACCTGTGACGTCAGATGGAGAGGAGGTCAACAAGGAGGCGTAGATCGCTTCCGCTGTTCTCGTTGGCGAGGTAGAGGCCATTAGATATCTGTGAAATAGAGTGACAGTACACGATGATTGGTTCTACTATGACGTTTTCAAACAATAATCATTGATATGCATGTATACCTTACCCCAATGCCCCACTGATCAAGTTACAATGAGACCCCCCCCCCCCCTCCCCCCACCATCATCCACGCCCCCTTAAAAAAAACACACACGGGATACAGCCGATATGTATTTAGGGTCCTGTTTCTGAATGATGTGTTTAACTTTGCAGATAAGTAATTCAAAATAGTTTATTTTTTTATTTCATAAAGGCTCATCAATTAAAACACGAGTACACATAACAGAATGGCCCGGCTGAAGACCTCAAAGCTCATATGCTTCTTAACAATATTGTTTTACTATGATTATGCAGAATAGAGTTCTATAGAGTTCTCTTTAGTTCGACATGCAGCCTAAATATATATTCAAAAACGGCGAATTTCTAAATTACGATTTAGGCACGTACAACACGCATACCCCGGCATTTCCCTCTTGGTACGTAACTTTTAGCCAAAGGCAAATCAAACTCGTCACAAAACTCAACCAGGTTCTATATTAAACAGCGGTCACACGTGTTCATGGCACAGTCACACGGCCACTTACGGTAGCTGCGGATGCTTACGGATAAAAGTCCGTAAGCATCCGCAAGGATCCGTATCATCCGTAAGCATCCGTATCCATCCGTAATTCAATCCGCAGGATCCGCAGACATACGCAGATCCGCAGCGGAATTTTGAAAATCTCAAAATTTTGCTGCGGATGAAATATACGTAAGCATCCGCAGAATATACGTTATCCATACGTAAAATACGTAACTCATACGTAAGATACGTAAACTCATCCGCAGGATACGTTAGATACGTAACTGATCCGCACACTTTGTCGGGTGTGCGGATGCCTGCGGATACATAGGGGTACGTAAACACTATTACGTAGGAGTTACGTATGTTTAACGTATTTTTGACATATATATTGCGGATCTTACGATAGGACTTGCGGTAATTGCGTATGCTTGCGGATGTGATACGAATATTACGGATGGGATACGGATGTTACGGATTGGATATGTATGTTACGGTTGAGATACGGATAATATGCGGAATTTTTACCTATGTCTTCTTTCATTTCGGCGGATGTCGCCCATGCCAAATGGTCTTCACTTGGGTATGCAACCCTGGATGCTGCCAGCATCCTCATCATTGTCAGTTCTTCAACTGTAGACTTTCACAGGTCACTCAAGATGGAGAGAGAACGCCGCCTTGTGTTGCTGGATTGTTTGATGGCCATCCAACACAATCAGATGCAGATGAAGATCCTGATGGCCAAGATGCAAGCCATCCTTGAAAGGAGAAAAGAGAGGATGTGTTGGGTTCGTCACTGGATCACATTGCGACCACACCAGGGTGCCTATGGTAACCTGATGCACCTGCTACGCAATGAGGATGTTCAGGGCTTCCGCAACTTCACCCGCATCACACCTGCCATGTTTGCCGAAATGGTCACCCGCCTCACTCCTCGCTTACAGAAGTATGATACCTGGTACAGGAAGGCCCTTCCAGTAGGCTTGAAGGTCGCCATCACCATGCGCTACCTTGCCAGTGGGGACTCCTACCACAGCCTGATGTACCTATTCTATGCACCCCACAACACCATCTCACTCTTGGTGTTGGACGTGTGTCAGGCCATCTACGCTGAGTATGGCGAGGAGACCATCAGCAACCCATCTACTCCAGAGGGGTGGAAGGGCATTGCCCAGACCTTCTCCGACCGGTGGAACTTCCACCATTGCCTGGGAGCCTTAGATGGCAAGCACATCCGCATCAAGGCACCCGCGAACTGTGGCTCCCAGTTCTACAACTATAAGGGGTACAACTCGATTGTACTCCTTGCCCTGGTTGATGGCAACTACAAGTTCCGGTGGGTGGAGGTGGGAGCAGGTGGTGCGAGTTCTGATGCCCAGATTTGGAACACGTGCAGTCTGAAAGAGGCAATTGACGATGAGAACATTGGAATACCACCAGATGAGCCACTGCCTCATGACGATCGAGACATCCCTTATTTCGTGATTGCTGACGCTGCATTTGCACTACGCACCACCCTGATGAAGCCTTTTGGTGCCAAGCCACTGACCATGGAGGAGAGGATATTTAACTATAGACTTTCCAGAGCCAGGAGATGTGTGGAGAATGCCTTTGGCATTCTTGCAAACAGATTCCGGTGTCTTCTGAGTGCTATGGCACAGGTGCCTTCCACAGTGGAGACCATCGTCCTCGCCTGCCTGTGCATCCACAACCTCCTGAGAGACCAGGCATCCGCTGAGCAGAATGGCATGATGGACAGAGAGGACGACCAGCACAACATCATCCCGGGTGCATGGAGAGAGGGGGGCGTGCTGGATGACATGCAACAGAGGCTTGCTGGCAACTACACCACCAAGATTGCCAAGCGCCAGCGCCTGTACCTCAAGCATTACTACAATGGCACCGCCGGAGCAGTTCCCTGGCAGCAGCGCATGGCCTAAGCAGTTGGCCAAACATAACAAACAGACAAATCATGCAACTCTTGATGCTTAAATTTGACAACAAAAAAATTGAACAAGGTAACGAAAGGATGTAAATTTATTTATAAAATCTGTGTTGAGAAAATCTTTAAAACTCCTATTTCACAAAACAAATGGAGGAACATTGTTTCAAAACCAATTGTTACTTGGGACAAAATTTATATGATTCCTTTTAAATGTTCTTTATCAAGAAAACTTAGATATTTACAATATACAATTCTTCATAATATCCTTGGTGTTAACAAGTATCTGAAAACTGTTGGTATATTAAATTTGTGTTCTTTTTGTTCAAAACACTCTGAAACTATTGCCCATTTATTTTGGGAATGCCCCTTCAATCGTCGATTTTTAGATGATTTTGAAAAATACACTCTCAAAAGTGAAATAATGTTATCTTTTAATGATTTTGTATTTGGCATACCAGGTGGAAATTATTCTTCTTTTAATTTTGATATTTTATATGCTAAATATTATATATTTTCAACTAGGTGTTTAAATGGTTATTTATCGTTTTCATCATTTAAAAAGAAATTAAAATATCAGCATGAGATAGAACGCGTTATGAAGAAACTGTTGAATAACTGGAACTAGATCTCAGACTTGATGAAATGCGACTGAAGCAAGCTCCGATCCACGTGGGTTTATATGCGGATGGTGCGGACGCCAGAGGAAGCCGACATGCGCAGACACGAGCGTAACTTATCCGTATCGTCCGTAAGTCATCCGTATCGTCCGTAAGTCATCCGTATCGTCCGTAAGTCATCCGTAAAATCCGTAAGTCATCCGTAAGTCGTCAGTAACATGTGTCAGCGGGTTGGCAGCGGATGGGTTCATCCGCAGGTTTTACCCGTAACATCCGTAATTCATACGTAACATCCGTAACTAATCCGTATCGTCCGCAGAATATAGGTAACTTTTGCTCAAATTTCCGTATTGGGGTTAAAAATTACGCATTTTCATTATCCAAATATACGCAGGCATCCGCAGGTCCGTAACATGGCCGTGTGACTGTAGCAATACATGGTAATTGACAGGAGACAGAATATAAAAAAATATACTCGAAATGAACCAGGGGGGGGGGGGGGGGGGATGTTGCAGAGCTCGAATAACCCTCTGGTATACCATGGGTATACAAGCTCAAAAATCGGAGTATGATTTTTTTGTTTGGTTAATCCACAATTTTAAGATAGCACCGTTTAAAAATTAAGGCCTACAAAATAAGTTACTAGTGCAAATCCAATGCAGATGCAGAAATAATTGAAATAATCTCTCCTTTCTTTATCCAAAGTCTTTATATTAAGTACTCTTTTCTGTGAAAGTGACCTTTAAACATAGGTATGGATTTGGAGGCTTCCGCCTTCAGCTGCACATCCGGGACACCCCCTTCCAAGCGCCTTGCTCTGACTAGATCACAACCTGAGGCTCAGCCAGCGATTAGCAAAGTTACAGTACTCAAGCAGCAGAGTCTACACGATCTTTTGTAGATAATTTAGTGTACATCTGTGCTTCATATGGCTTTGGCCTTTGAGTGTGATACAAGAATTATATTTCTCGAGCAAATTAGAGTCTGTGCTAGCAGACTAGTGATACATCACTGGTATATTTATATAATATTGAATGGCTTTGAGGTGATACAAGAATATATTGCTGGGGCCATGACAATATTGGAAGAGTATAAGACTAGTCCAATATTGTCATACTCGATCATATAGCGAGAGCGATATTTATATAGTATCGTCACACGCAAACAAAGCCATGCAATATTATATTATTACCAGTATTATTATTTTTATTATTATTATCAAGAGATCTATATAGCGAGAAATAACAACTTGTCTGAGTCTCGATAATCAAGCCATAATTTATATTAATGTTTCAACAGTTGAAGTTCCCGGATGACAAAGCAGTACGAAAACAATATTGCGCTAAAGATATAAAATACCATGGGTGTCGATCCGTAACTGATACCTATTCATCAGGGGGGGATGATCTATTCATTCATCCCCCCTGATGAATAGGTATTACGTAAGTATCGACACCCATGTAAAATACATTGAATTATTATTGTACAACTTGGAAGCTTTAAATAGGTCTAATAGTCAACGACATTGTCTATTCATATACCTTCTCCCCCTGACCCCTCCCCCGACTTCGGACTTGCATCGACCGAGGACCATACATGAACTCAATTTTGACTACAGCGCAGTGCTGCGTGCATGTACAATTGTTATTCGACTGAATTAGACTTAGAGGGGAAAGTCTGCAGCAATTAATACGAATTACGTCTGGTGACACGATTAATGTGCAGATGAAGAAAAGATTTACTGCAAAAATATACGAGATACATGCACAACCTTCATTCAAAGACTCGACATCTACATCTACTGATCTATATTTGCATGCAGCATATCAGCACAAGATTACTGTATAAAACTGTACACAAGGATACAATGAGGTGATTACCTGTCTAACAAAATCTTCTGCAATTATCCGTAGATCCTTCTCTAAAGTTGTGCAAAATACTGGAAAATTGCATCTGCATTACCACGTGGGTAGTAGTCGTCAACTCGTGTAGTGGACAAAGTACTGCAATATCACATTAACGGCTAATTCACAACTAATATAATGCAGACATCCTAAACTCCAGTCCAGTACGTACACATACACAGCATGCAAGGCTCAAGGATTCACTGGTACTTTTATACACGCGCTGTCGGCTTCAGAGTCAACAACTTTTCGCTATGCAGCACGCTGTTATTAATAATTATCTGACATATTTCATATTGTTTGTTCCTGTGAGCTGATAAATACAATAAAATGTTTCAAATACGAGCACTGAATTCCGCAAAAGGCAAGTGTATTAAAAGGAGCAGTTCATATATTAGTATCTAGGCCTAACATATAATTATATATTACATGTACATCGTCATTTAGCCTACAATGTATGTGTATCATCTCTATGTACACACGTACATGGAGAGATTTGCTTTCACTGTACTTCCTAGTGTAGCTTCAATGGACAGAAAACTATTGAAAAACCAATCCGTGATTGTGAGTTGTTTATGTTTACGCCTGATGTGGTTTCCATTCATGTGATGGGGTGATACAGAGTACATGTAGTTTAATAAAGAATAGTTCAAGAGTTGGGTAAAGGGGCGGTCTACCCAGATATTAAGTTGGTTTTATTAAAAGCAGTGAATGAGAAGGGAGGGGGGGGGGAGGATTGTGAAAGTTTTAACATATCACAATACAAACTTGTCAACACTATGTGACGTAGCCTATCTTGCGAGCTCTTCTCAAATTTGCCTTGTATAGAAAATTGCATTAACTTTGATTTTCTTAATAGACTTTGGTGACGGAATAGATTGGTTTCATACTGTGGTTGTGTAAAATACATATTTGTAATAATTATATTTAGGGTGAATGTATGATTGATTTTTTTTCTAGTACAGTGCAAGTTGGAGAGGAGCTTGCAAGATACGTCATAGAGTTGCCAATTTGTGTTTGATTGATCGCACCTTCAAAATTTTATAACTTTCTTATCTTTTATTTCATTTCATTTTCATTTCATTTCATTTCATTTCATTTTATTTTATTTTATTTCAACACGGATCACTTGCTTTAGCCAATGGCTGTTCTTCAGCAAGTCCGTGCCTACATAATAAAAATCTCATACAAAATAATATACAATTCAAATTAAGACGCAATACAAATTAAACAATTACAACAGTAAAAGAAGAGCGGATTTGAAATCAAATGAATGAAATATTATGAAAATAATCATAACGAGCATGATGAACAACATAATATATAAATAATTAATAAAAACATATATAAAATGAAATAAAATAAAGTAAAAGTGAAGTTAAAATTAGGAATTGACAATTAAGAATTGAAATATATTTAAATGAGCAAACTAGGAAACATTGATTATAACTATATTGAAAAGGCAGCTATTGTGATTGCACAGCATATTGCACAGATTGCGAACAAGAGGCATAACAGAGAGGGAGAAATATTATATAGAGAGAGAGAGAGACAAAGAGAAAGATGTGAGGGAGAGAGAGAGAGAGAGAGAGAGAAGAGAGAGAGAAAAGAGAGAGGGAGACAGAGAGAGAGAGAGAGAGAAGAGAGAGAGAGAGAGAAAAGAGAGAGGGGAGAGAGAGAGAGAGAGAGAGAGAGAGTCGTTTATTTGCCCAAAACTTTCACTAGCTGACCTGTTCCTCTTATTTGTTCTGCTTCTATTATAACCGACCTTTACATCAGGATGGACTTGCCCTTTAAAAGCCGTTGGGATGTATCATATAGAGTACCGAAGCTATGACATCATAACATTTTTTTTTAGAGAATTTCCCAATTTTTTTTCATTTTCCGAAAGAGCATAAAAATAACATCCAAATGTCGAAAGCCAATCGAATATGTTAAGTATTGGCTGAGATATGACCATCTGAATAAAAAGATTTCCTATAGGAGCTCAGTGTTATATTGATGTGGCTCGTAAAGTTATAAACCAGAGCAATATAACACTGAACTCCTATTATATAGGGAATCTTTTTATTCAGATGGTCATATCTCAGCCAATACTTAACATATTCAACTGGCTTTCAACATTTGGACTATATTTTTGATACTCTTTCGGAAAATGAAGGGGAAAAAATGGAGAAATTCTAAAAATAGATTTTTGATGACGTCATACGGGGGGGGGGGCATTGGAAATATTAGATAGACTGTCCCCTATCTCTCTCTCTCTCTCTCTCTCTCTCAATCATATGGGGTGGGTTATGTGCCCATGCAGAAGTAGCTACTCCTCAGACTGTAATACATGTCATGCAATCTGCACGCGTCTTACGTATATAGGCCTAATTTTGTCATTATAACAATTCACACAAAGTTATTTTAAGTAATTGAAAATTACCCCTAATAGTAGACATTCTGACAGGCTTACTCATTTGATGTATAGATAGAGATTTTGTTCATATATAAATGAGCCCACCAGAATCAATGTACACTCCTCAACGGGTATTGATTAACAAAAATTCAAATGCATTTACAAAAGAAATAACTTGGGGATTATTATGCCCAAGAAGTTTCTGACCATTAACCTATTTTTTTAATATGTGAACATGAAATTTCCAAACCACATATTAATATTATGTATAGAAAAGAAACCCCTCGTAATATTGAATTATTAAAGCAAAATTTAGCTGTAGAGGAATGAGTAGACGTATATAATGTAAATGATGTGAATATTGCCTATGAAAATTTTAATAATAAATTACAAAATTATTATGATAGAAATATTCCTCTAGCAAAAGTTAAACGTAAACATAATAAACCAAATAACCATTGGATAACGAAAGGTGTACTTAAATCAATACAAACTAGAAATCGTATGTATAAAACATATATACGTTATCCAACTGATGTAAATTTACAACTTATACAAAATTCCGTAACAAATTAACGGAACTAATTCGACTATCCCGGAATTTACACTTTTCAAATACATTAAAGAGATCTAGTTGTAACACTTTTGCCACTTGGAAAGTTATTAAAAACCTTTACCAAAAGATGAGCTTACCTTAATGTTATAATTGAAGACTCTAGTATTTATGCTAATCATTTTAATTCATTTAAATTCATTTTTCACTAAAATTGGGTCCCGACTTGCAAGTAAAATTGATAGTCCGGCCTAACATTCATTATAGTGACTTTTTATCAAGTCGAATCCAACAATCATTTTTTTAAAGTTCCACGAACCCAAATGAAATGAACGTTACTAAAACATTAATCATGTCTAAAGCTCAAGGTTGTGATAAAATTAGTACATCACTTTTAAAACAAATAATACATATTATTGCTCATCCACTAACCCATTAATCAGGCTTTATTGCAAGGTTTTTTTTCCAGATTTACTTAAGATAGCGGAGGTAATTCCGATCATTAAAAAAGACGACTCGCATGAAATTAGTTATTATCGTCCAATTCTCATTTAACCAATTTCTGAATTAATCTTAACATTGATAACATGCCAATCGAACAAAAAAGAAATCAACGTTTTTGGGAATATTTATTGATAAACATTTAACATGGGATGATCACTTACGTTATGTGACTTGTGTATAACCAAAAGTGTTGGAATCATAAATAAGTTGAAATTTCTTTTGCCCCATACTGCGTTATTTTTTATTGTACAACACACTAGTACTTCCATATTTAACATACTGTAATATTGATTGGGCAAATTGTGGTGTAACCAAACTTGGTTCGATTCTTTTATTACAAAAAAGGGCCCTGTGTATTTGCACTGGATCTCTTTTTTGTTTATAGCCCATACAGACCCATTATTTTAAGAGTTAAAATCATTAAAGGTAAAGACCAGTATTGGTAACGCCCCAATTTCAAAAAATGAAATGGAAGCTCTCATTACCAATCATGTGAAAGAATATGTTTTGACTAATACATGATAATAAAAAAATTGCCGGGAAACCGCCTACTAATTCATATATTTGGTAAATTTATTTCTCTCATGGTCGTGTGAGAGAGATAGGGTAGTCCCATATACATCTTTCTGTGTATAGTGCTTGTAACTTTACGAAGAATGGGCCAAATTTCTTATCATTTTGATGATTCCAGAACCTTGCAGATGCTAGATGCTAGATGATCAACCTTTTCTGATCGATTCCACAACGTTTCTTTCACAATGCAATCGCATGACCATTACTGGTCTTTACCTTTAAAAGTCACTGACTTAAATACTCTCCAAGTTGCAAGTTTTATGTTCAAATAAATGAATAAGCAACTGTCACCTTCATTCGATAATTTTTTAGTTCATAATAATACAATTCATTCTTATCCAACTCGTATTTCTGAGAACTTTCATTTAACTAACCCCAAATTATTGATTACACGCAAATTAATCAGACATCATGACCCCGATTTATGGAACTTTTTATCTATAATAATTAAATCATGTTCGACCCTTCATTCTTTTAAAGCGACATTAAAACGTCAAATGATATCATCATACAGCATTGTTTAGTAATTTAGTAATGTAAAATGTAAGTCATGAATCATGGTAAAACCAATATGAACATTTCAGACTTAAAACAAATGATGCAGCATACAAACTGTTGCATATCTATATCTTCTGATATACATATATTTTAAAAGAAAATCATTATTCAACAATCACTTGCCTTTTTCTAACGATAATTGAAGAAGTTTCATAATTATGTATGTAACATTGACATAAACACGTTTTCCCATATTTGGCGGGTTTTCTATACAATTGTGATTTTGCTCAAGATAAGGTCATATCTGGAAAAGGCCACAGGACGTATATATACACGTTTAATACTTTAATTCGAAATTAAATTAATTCAAGAGGCAGAAAAAAAGGCGGGAGCCGGTAAGCTTGTTTGGATAACCAAAACTTCTGCTTTGTTTACTCTTTACAGCCCCCACCCCGACTTTCTTTCTTGCCTAGGTACTTCGGTCACCCACTAGTGTATAGAGTTGCTGCTATTTGGACAGTGATCTATCGAATATTCTCAGAAGGAGAAATTAATTGCAGTCTTTTAAATCATATCAAAATATGTATGAACTAATCTTGGCTGATAGCATTTTTTCAGTATTTTGTCTAAAATATTAATTTGTCGCTATTGCATGAGGTCGTCGATTCGATGCTCCTACGGGTTGTAGATATAGAAACCCTTTTTGACTGGACATATATTTTTCCGTGATAATGCCGTATCTCTACTAAACTGAAATTCGAATAATTTATAGCATGTGGAACAATGCAATTTTCTTCTCCTTATCTCTTTCCCAGTCCTAAGTTATTACATTTTGTTCTCGCATTGCATGTGAAGATGGCGCGAAACCCTCTTAAGCGCCACCAGTAAATAGAAGTGTTTGCTATTG